GCATGGGGCTAAAACGGGTGGCCTGAGGTGATTTCTACTGATACAGTGAACTACTTTGTCTATTCCGATGGTGCAGACTGTGAAGAACTATGGAACTGTATGAGCACAGAGGCGTACGGTTGCCTCTAAAGCAACAAAATAGGAAGTGTTTTGTATGCCGAACACAATGACTTCATTTTTTTGGAAGCTGAGGTAGAGCCAAGCCTGCCAGCTGTGGTGAACATCAGGCCTGGGTAATGCTGAGGGGCAGTGGATGGTGGAGACCGTGGGCTGCTCATGCATTGCAGGGTTAACTGAGGAAGTCCTGCAGCCACAGCTGCCTCATGGACAGTAGAGCTAAGCTCAGATATGTCCTCTTTGCTATATGTCCTATTTCTATGAACAAAAGGCTTCCTCTTTGGAGGATATTTCGATTTCAAAGCTGCAAACTACACCAGTTTCCTTTCCTTCTTCTTTGGCGTGGAGTGGAACGCAGAGGGCGGAGGGCACGGTCAGTGTTGGAGAAACAGCTGGTGTTTGAAGCACTTTTCCACAAAAGATTTCAGTTTTTTTAGCTGCTGTGGCTCCGACAGCAGCTCACCTCAAATCCTTACTAGAGCCAGATTAAATTTTCTCTCTAGAAATTCTCTGGTTATCACTGAAATTTTAACAGGACAGGACACAGAAAACTGGCGAATGGAGCCCCCTGGCAGCCCCTATTTTCAGATTTTCCCCACGGGAGGTTGTGCTAGCTTCCATATGTCAAACACAAGGCCTGCAGGCCAGATCAGGCCCAAAGCACAATCCTATCTGGACTGTGAAAGTATTTTAATTAAACATTAGCCCGTTTCGGACTACAGTACCCAGCATGCACTGCAATGTATTGTGCGCTCACAACTACAAAAAAAAACAACAGTCTGTGCAGGTTATACCTCAATTGTACCCCACCAGTCATTTCACCAAACACACTAGATGTGTATACACTGATATAAACTGATCCCAAGCATGAATGAGGCCCAGTCCTGTTTCTCATTTGTACCCCTACCCCTTGTTTTCGAGTGTCTCCTTGCCCCCTGGAGTTACAGGGTAGTGGTTGAAATCTTCCCTCTGAAATGGGACCCTCAAATAAAAAGAGCATCACTTCATTAACAGCTACCAGCGCTGCTCTGTAGGCGACCCTGTCAGTCTGCAGTGACAGCAGAGGAGGGTAAAGTTCAGCTCCTCACTGCTGGGCTTTAGTTACATTTAGGGCATCATATGACTTCAAAGAGGGGGGCAATTATTTATTATCACCCACCCCTAATTCTTCAGTGATATGAAGCTGAAGTCAGATATTCACCAGCTTCTTGTTCGAATTTTCCCGTTCCACCTTAAATGGAGCAGCAGTTACATTCTGGCGCTTCAGGTGCCAGAACTGCTGCACTATTTAAGGTGGAACTGGAAATTTAGTTGGCTAGCTACCGAGACATCAGAGTACTATTAGCAATTTTTTATGCTTGTTATGAAGAAAAGGACCATAATACCCTGAAACAACATTAAACTAAACTAAATTAAAAAGGTAATACAGTGGTTTTTGTAGTTTTTTAATGGAGAAGATTCTCACGTTTGTGAGTTTCTTTGGTCACTCAGGCTCTGGAGTCTGAAAAACCTCTGTTTGGAGGGTCATGTAGCCCTAACACTTCACCCTACCCCTCCTCAACTACAATCAGGACCCCCTACCCCTAGACGTGAACATGAGAAACGGTGGGGTAGGGCTAAGTGGTGGGGCGAGAGGTGAAATGGGATTTGGCCATAGGGTGCCAAATTCCCCCCTGATATTCAGGGGGTCCCATGTTGGCTGGCCACTCCAGCATTTGATTCCTCACATTAACTGAGATCTTCCTCGTCTCCTCTTCTGTCTTCAGTGTGAGAAATGAGGAACAGTCACTCTTCACTCTTGGGAAACTGGGCGAGTCTTCAGATTTACAGATCTGCTGCAGCTCATTGTGAAGTTTTTCAAAGGAGTCCGGGCAGAGTTACAGTTTCTAGGCTACGAAGGACCAACTGGGTGAGCCGGTCTGCTACAGCGCCACCCTGAGGCACAGCAGCGCTGCAGCTCTAGTTAGTTAAGAACAGCAAACACAGAAGCTGACTGTGGGAGAAGCAGATAAACAGTGAGCTTCACTGAATCTGGATTTAAGTGTCTGTTTTTCTGTATGGACATCATAACGTCATAAAGAGTTTATTTTCACGGACCCCCAGAAATTGGATTGTGAGAGTTTCAGGGGGTCCAAGAGGTTCATTAGGGGGTCCCAGACTTCCCAGGTCCCCTTGTACTTTTGAATATTTCAAATATTGTCATGTAATATTTCATGGTTTTCTATCAGCGTCTATATTTTACTTATGATGTTTTGGTGTATTTTGAAAAATAAACAGTGGCCAGGTCAGAATGTAGTAATATTATTTAAATGTATTTATTTTTGGCCCAAAGATTTGTTGAGATTTTGGATTTTGGCCCTTTTAGTGGTTCAGTTTGACACCCCCTTGCTAATGCTAGCTTTGAGCAGTGTCCTCTGTGATGGGGTCAGGGTGAAGAGTGTGTGTGTGTGTGTGTGTGTGTGTGTGTGTGTGTGTGTGGAGGACAGAGTTGGTATTGTCGTGCGGTTAGGAGATGCCAGACCCTCCACCCTCACACACACACAGCCTTTGTGTCCTTAACGGCCGGAGAGAGAGATTTATTTAGGTTTTCTTCAGACTGTCTCTCCAATTAGAGCAGAGTCACTTCAGAGACCGAGACAAAGCGGAGGGGAGGAGAGAGAGAGAGAGAGAGAGAGAGAGAGAGAGAGAGAGAGAGAGAGAGGGAGGAAGAGGGAGAGAGACAGGGAAAGAGAGAGAGAGAGAGAGGGAAAGAGAGACAGAGAGAGAGAGAGAGAGAGAGGGAAAGAGAGACAGAGAGAGAGACGGAGAGAGAGAGAGGGAAAGAGAGAGAGAGGGAGAGAGAGAAAGGGAAAGAGAGAGAGAGGGAGGGAGAGAGAGAAAGGGAAAGAGAGAGAGGGAGTGAGAGAGAGAGAGGGAAAGAGAGAAAAAGAGAGAGAGAGGAGAGAGAGAGAGAGGGAAAGAGAGAGAAAGGGAAAGAGAAAAAGAGAGAGAGGGAGAGAGAGAAAGGGAAAGAGAGAGAGAGAGGGAGAGAGAAAAGGAAAGAGAGAGAGAGAGAGAGAGAAAGGGAAAGAGAGAGAGAGAGAGAGAGCAAAAGGGAAAGAGAGAGAGAGAGAGAAAGGGAAAGAGGGAGAGAGAGAGAGAAAGGGAAAGAGAAAGAGAGAGGGAGAGGGAAAGAGAGAGAGAGAGAAAGGGAAAGAGAGAGAGGGAGAGAGAGAGAGAAAGGGAAAAGAGAGAGAGAGAGAGAGAGAGAGAGAGAGAGAGCTGGGGTGTAAATGATTTAGGAAAATATCTAATTGCAATTTTCTCCGACTAATATCGTGACTGCGGTTTAAATTCCGATTATATTCTATAAATTAAGCTCCGGGTCTGTAACGTACACTTAAAAAGGTTCTTCAAGGGTTTGGAAAGGCAGTTAGTTCTATATAGAACCATTTGCACGCTTGAATGGTTCTTTTCATGTCGAAAAGGTCCTTCAGATTCTGTTGTATATGGTTCTATATAGCACTGAAAAGGGTTCTTCTATTGTGACAAGCTTGACATCATAACAATAGCAGAAACCCTTTTTGGGTTCTGCTATATAGAGCCACATTTTCAATCGGTCTGAAGAACCGTTTAATCATGCCAAGGGTTCTTTGAGTGTCTGTGGTTCCATATAGAACCCTTTTCTTTACTGAAGAGCCCTTGAAGAACCATCTTTTAAGTGTTTACGTCACAATGTCAGGCTTGTGTTAGCAGAACACTTTCTGGTGCTAAAAAGAACCATTTTCAAAAAGGTTCTGTACAGAACCATATCCAACACATTCTCTGTCAATCTGAAGAACTATTTCACGAAGCAAAGATTGATTTAAGCATGCAAATCGTTTTATATAGAACTCATGGTTCTGAATAGAACCACTGCCTTTACTAACCCGTGAAGAACCATCTTTTTAAGCGCGCAGGTGCTGAATGTCTGTTTCTTCTGCCTGTGTTCAGTCATTTTGAAAAAGGCTAACCTGCAGTGTGTTCTTATCTGGATTTCAGTGACTGTTTCCTGATGTGTCACGTGATCCTTCTGTGCTGGTTTCACAATGAGTGGCACGTTCATAGAGCTGAGGAACAACTTCCTGAGATAATATGAAAACAGGATATTTCTAATACGCGTGAGCTTTTGAGCAGATAGTGTTGTTTCCTGCACGCCAGTTACAAACTATGAGCTCTGATGACTTATTATGGTCATATAGTCATATAGAAAGTGAACACGCGCCCTGGTGTTTCCTCCAGCTGCAGTTTTCTTTTAAACCATTAAACTCCACATATCTGTGATTTTATATGTGCTGAGTTCACTGTAAACTTATGGGACATTACGTTATTACATGAACATACTTACACATATATAATACGTATGGAACATGTTATTATTATTAATTTCTTTATTATTATTATTATTACTATTACATATCGCTGCTGTCGGAACAAAACCTCATATCTCCATTTTTGTCGTTTTCCAGTTTTTGACATAGTTTGAAAATACCTGTCGTTCTTTACATTGTGTGTAAATTTCATGATGAATGGACCAAAAGAAACGGCCCAAAATTACCTGGAATAAATTCTGGTTCCATTGACTTACATTAAAAGTAAAGTATGCTTTTTTCTTTTGCTGTAAAGTTACCATTTTGAAGATGCAAGGTTTTCTTCCGACAGCAGCGAAATAGAGATCTACATATATGTGATGCATGTAAAATGTATTATACTGCATATTGGACATTATTACTACATATAGGTACTTTATATATATATATATATATATAACATTAATACTATTATTATTATTATTACATATACACCACTTTTCAAAGGTTTGGGGTTACTTGTCTTTATATTATGTATGTGTGTATTATGTGCAGGCTACTCTCTGGCGGTGCAGAAGTTCTCTCAGACCCTGCAGACCTTCCAGTTCGACTTCATTGGTGACACATTGACCGATGATGAAATGAACATTGGTGAGTCACATGATCAGCAGCAGCCAGAGGCTCATTAAATCATAAAGTGTTTGGATCAGTCGCAGCTTTTCCTCTTTATTAGGCATAAAATGCATTCATAAAGCTTTATAAACATGGCTATAAATACACTTTACAGCCATGAATAAATGCGTTCTTAGCCTAAAATAGGTCTCACCTCACTTACAGCTCACAGATACAGCTTTTTAGTTTTAGTAAACAGATTATAATAGCGTATGTATAGTAATAATAATAATATATATCCAAGTATATGAGTATATAGTGCATTACTATGGCTATGAAGTCTGGGTGCAACTAGGGCTGGGCAATATGATAACATTCTTCATTATCATGATAAATTACATCCTAATGTGTCACCATATGCTTTCCTGAGCGTATCATAGATATCCTTAACACTTAGTCCTGTTTATTTGGATATAGTGCAGAGCGCAGTGTGTGAAATGTTCAATAAAAATGAATGGATTTATAATTTTTCTGTAATATTTTTTAACTCAAATGACTTGCCAATAATATCACGAATCTCTGATATTTTCCATCTACTGCCTTTGCCAACATCAGAAAACATGCCAAAAGATAAAACTCATCTCTTTTTTTAGAACTGTGAGAAACTTGAGCAGAAAACAGACGAAAACAAAACAAACTGCTTTATAAATGGAAAAAAAAAAAAAACTCTCTTTAGGATTCATTTTAAGCAAATAAGACAAGTGTGATCATGATTAACTGTAAAAAATGCGTTTGACTGCAATTAAATGCAAAAATAATGCATTATTTTACTGTTAATTGTGATTAACTACACAAAATAATGTGATTAATCTCAGTCAACCGTAAAATCATATGATTAATCACAATTAACTGTGAATATAATGCAGTTAATTCTCATTAACTACACAAAATAATGCAATTAATCTCGATCAACTGTAAAATCTGGTGATTAGTCACAATTAACTACAAAAGTAATGCAGTTAGTCATGATTAGCCACAAAAATAATGTGGTTAATTGATTAATTGTGATTAGTTACAAAAATAATGCAATTATCACATTTTTACAGATAACTATGATTTAACTACACAAAAATGTGATTAATCACAATTAACTGTAAATAAATTGCAATTAACTACAAAAACGAATGCGATTATCACATTATTGTACTGTAATTGTGATTAACTACACAAAACAATGTGATTGATTATTTTAATTGTTACAATTAAAACGTGTTCTGAAAGTGTTCCTAGACGTAAACATAGGAGGTGTCGCCCATGTTGTAAGTCCATGGGCCCGTTTGTGTATTCATATGTGTGTGTGTGTGTGTGTGTGTGTGTGTGTGTGTGTGTGTGTGTGTGTTTCAGCCGAGTCGTTCCGTGAGTTTGCTGGTCTGCTACAGGAGGTGGAGGAGAACAGGATGATGCTGGTTAGTCAGTTACTGTCCTTTCTGTTCACATGACACCTGCCAATCATCTTTCATCACCATAGCAACACAATTTCACGTCATTTCAATAACAGAGAAAGACGAAAGTGACAGCCCTTCGTTTATTTAACCTCCAGTCAGAACAGCTGTTCAGTTCTTGCAGAGATTAGATACGAGAAAAAGTCCAAGGAAAATAAGTAAAGTTTCCAAAACTGGAGTTAAAACTGCAGAGCAAATGTGGCTCCTAACAACCACCTGGAAGAGCTGGTTGACCCCAAAACTGCCCCCATCAGATAAACAGCACTTAAAGCTTCCATCTCTGAGAGAGAGGAGAAAATCAAGCTGCTTCAGATCTGAAAACATCCACAGGTGTTTCTGTCCATCCTTCCACTGTGAGAAGACGACTCAGCGCTGTGGGTCTGAAAGGATGTGTAGCTGATCAAGAAGAGAAAAGAAGAGAGAAATAGAGAAAAAACAAAGAGACAGACTGAAGAAGATTATTTGCACGAGAACATCAAAACTGGACATTCTGAGATGTTGAGTGAGGTTTTATGGACTGATGAGTTTCATTACGATGTGCAAACTAAACATGTTCTCATAAAAACACTTCATAACACTATAAAAATACAAATAAACATAATTGCAGTAAATAGACTATAAAACATTAGAATAAATACAGTAAAAACACTAGAATAAATATCATTAAACATAATTACAGTAAATACACCATAAAACATTAGAATAAATATAGTACAAACTTTATAACATTAGAAATAAATACGATAAACACAGTTTATAACATTAGAATAAATACAAATAAATATATTTGCAGTAAAATACAGTATACAACATTAGAATATATACAGTAAAAACACTATATAACCTTAGAATATATACAAATAAACGTAAATACAGTAAAGCACTATATAACATTACAAGAAATAGAGTATAACACAATATAGCATTTGAATACATACAGTAAAAACACTGTATAACATTAGAATACATACAGTGAAAACACTATATAACATTACATACAGTAAAAACACTATATAACATTACACACAGTAAAAACTATATAACATTAGAATATATACAGTAAAAACACTATATAACATTAGAATAAATACAGTAAAAACACCATATAACATTACATACAGTAAAAAACACTATATAACATTAGAATAAATACAGTAAAAAAACACTATATAACATTGGAATAAATACAAATAAACATAATTGCCGTAATTACACTATACAACATTAGAATATATATACAGTAAAAACACTATCACATTAGAATAAATACCGATAAATATAATTGCCGTAATTACACCATATAACATTACAGTAAATACAGTACATATAACATTAGAATATATACTAAAAAACATAAATACTCTGAAACACTTTAGCATAGCATTAGAATACATACAGTAAAAACACCATACAACATATATGGTATATAATAAATACAGTAAAACTGTAACAGTGGAATATAGACATAAATAAAGTAAAGACACTATCTAACATTAGAATAAATAAATAATAAATAAACATAAATACAGTAAAGGTAGTATGAACGTGTTGTTTTGAGTAAAGTTACTGGTATAGCTGTAATAAGGAGGTGGTGACTGTGTGACACGTCGTCTCTGCCAGCCTGACTTTAAAAACATCTTTAATAAGTGAAGCATGGAGACTCTGAGAGCTGCAGTGATTAATGATGATGTGTTTACAGCTCTGATCGGGACGATCAGTGTGTCTGACTCTCTCTCTCACACACACACACACACACACACACACACACACACACACACTGTACCATTCAAATGAATCATTAAGACTTCACAGTGAGCTGAGCTGAGCCAGAGTAACCGCTAACACTCTCAGCCTGTTCCGCTCGGCTCTCGGAACGTCGTCCTCGTGCAGTTCTGTTATTGATTATGTAAAAGAAGAGAACAATGCCTTTGGAAAAGCTCTGATTGTCAGAAAGTTCCTCGTTAGTCATGTTCGGAGGAGTGGCCGGCGGCGCAGACGCGAGCTGGAGACGCTGCTGGAAAAGAGATTTGGCCTGGAACGTTTTCCCGAAATACTTAATCAGACGCTGAAGCTCCGTCCCTGTTGAGCGATATCCGAGCTGCTGTCAGCAACTCGCAGCTTTTCCTTTTTCCTGTTATGCACTCTGCCAGTCCATCAAACGCCTGGCCTGCAGTCCTGCTGACCCTGCAGTGGACGGGTCGGCAGACTGGACTGATTCACCTGATTACCGGGTTAATGTCAGCTCAGTTAGATCAGGAGGTTTATTACAACAGCCACTGTTCATAAATCACTGTAAAGGCACAGTTTGTCACGTCAATATACAGAATTTCCCTCAAATATAGTCGGTCAGTCAGGACAGACTTGGTCTCTGAAGCAGAAGCGCCGCATATAAAATGAAGAAGCAGTGCTGTTAGACCCGGTTAGACCCAGATAAGTGCAAGACTTGACCAATCATGGAAGGTTTTCAGAGTAAATATAGATTTTAGGGTTATTCTGATGTCTATATGTAAACATCTAAATAATTCTAATACAATCTAAATAATTTTAATAAGTCCATTAACATCTCCTGTTATCATATATGCAGAAAGGAGCTAAATTCAAACATATTTTACAGTCACTGGTGTTGTATGTTTATAATGTAACTCCAGTGACGGTGACTCCAGTGACGCCCTGGTTAAAACTGAGGATTTTGTAAACTGGCCGTCAGGTGACCTTGTGTATTTAAAATCAGATAAAAAATTATTAAATTATTATTAATTATTATTATTATTAAAAATGATAATATGGCATTATTTTGACTAAATTTTAATTACCCAGCCATTAAAGCTCATAACACCGGTGACATATAGAAATTCTGAGCTGCCTGATAAACAGAATTATTAATAAATTAATTAAATATAGTGAGCGAGTGTGACTCGCCTTCTCAAGCTTCCTCTCTGATGAGCCTTGACCCAAAGAAGCAGTTTAATAGAGCTGAAAATACTGTGTTAAAATGTAGAATAAGAGTCCTGATAACGCCAGCGACCAAAATCTCTGACAAATGATTTATTAAAGTAAAATACATGTTTTTTAATGGAGAATAATGTTAATGATATAAAACGTAAACGTGAATCTATTTTATACAAACTCCTGAGTTAAACCTCTTAAAAATATTGTTTTATATTAAAAATGTTGAAAACTGGTTTTGTGACGAGCTGTTTTACAGATGCAGAGCGACTATGAAACAGGAAAAATCAGAGAATCATAAGAGAAAAGTCTTATTTAATCTTAGCTCAACTGTGTAAATGTACATACTGACTTTTGGAGCTGAACCTGATATTTTAAGCATCTCTTTAAGCCCTGAAACCTGTGTGACATGGTTTCCACTCCATATGGAGAATGACCCCTAAAACTGTAGTAAAACAGACCTGTGGTGTTTATTTTCTATTTTGTTTGGCTTTTATTTTGTGTACAATAGTATACAGTGAAATTTCAAAATTTCAAAATTTCGAAAGTTTTATTTGTCCGATCTCTTTGCTGCATCAATAGCATATGATTGATTACCACTGAGAATAATTTTGTTTTGTTATTTTGTTTGTCAACATTTTTTTGGTTCTTCTTAAGAAATACAAGGAAATGTGCAGAAACTGCTGTATGTAGCAACCAACCGTACAATATTACAGAAGCTTCTTTAGCCCTAAGTTAAGATCTGACAGGTCAAGATAAGATTTCTCACAAATTCTTATTACAGAAGCAAATCATATAGCTTATTACAGCATCTTATCTCAAGTTAGGAAATTCTAAGCTACTCAGTTGAGGTTGATAATCAGCTGTCATGTCTGTTACCTAGCAACTGACCATACACCGACAGCTGAACATGCAAACAATGTTAAAAATGTAAGGTACAGCTGCTGTTACTGACGTAAAAAGGGTCAAAACAAAGCTAAGGTGTGATAAACTGTAAGTAGTGAATACTGTGAGAGCGCCCCCTGCTGTTTATCAGAGCGTCGCCGCTCCCCGGTTTAGTCTCCATTTCCCAAACGCTTTAGCCGAGCGTGCTAACGTTACTCCTCCTAATAAACAGACACACGTTCAGCTCCGTCTCCTCATTATTCACCACCATCACTGTAATATTTCATCATCAACATTAACACACGAAGGTGATCAGAGGGGCGGTGGAGATCGAGTCTGCAGCGTCTGAGATCTTTAAAACGCAGAGTTAGAAAAGAAAATCATCTCACAGTGAAAGCAGCGTTTTACAGTAGAAATAAATGGAGCTCATTATGCTGGTAGTGAACTATGCTGCTGACACAGCTGCCTAAAAACCATAGAAACGGACCTTAAACAGACGTTAGGACCCTGTTGGGGTTCTGCTACTGTTATGATTTCAAGCTTGAATACAATAAAAGAACCCTTTTGGGTGCTACATAGAACCATTTTCAAAGAAGTTCTATACACATTTAAAAATGCTGGTTCTTCAAGGATTCTTTAGTAAAGAAAATGGCTCTATATAGAACCGGGAACGCTTAAAGAACCATTCGCATGATTAATGGGTTGTTTGCATCGTGAAAGCGTCCCTCAGATTGATGGAGAGTGTGCTGTAGATGGTTCTATGCAGAACCTTTTGGAAAAGGGTTGTATGTAGCACCAAAAAGGGTTCTTCATTTATTACAAGCTTGACATCATAACAGTAGAGGAACCCTTTGTGGTGCTATATAGAACCATTTTCAAAAACACATTGTCCATCAATCTGAAGACCATGTGCATTTCACCATGCATAGAACCGTTTAAGCATGCCAAAGGTTCTATATAGAACCCATCATTCTAAATAGAATGAGAACCATTGGCTTTCCAAAATATTTTTAAGTGTGCACAGCTGTTTTCACACCTAGCATGTTTGCTAAAGACCACACCACAGTTAGGCAGCTATTGAACTGCTACATTAGCTGTTTGGCTAAGTGCAGTCGCACACCAGTCACCCCGACGCTAACCACGGCAGTTACCTACACTTTTTACACGCCGGTGTGTAGCGCTGTGGTGTCGCTAAGTGTTGTGCTAGTTACTAAGAGTTAGTAATTACAGTTTACTACTAACTTCTTTCAAAGGTAATTGAATTACTTTACCAATTACTGCACATAAAAGTAATTAGTTACTTGGGAAAGCAACTTTTGTGTATCTCCAAATGTTGACATTCTAACTGCTGACACAGGCTGCATGTCTTGGACTGCATACCTGGCAACCAGTCTGGTTAGTCCTGCCTGCCTTACAGACCAGTTCTTGGGTTTAAACTCAAGCCTTGGTTGTTTGGATGGAGAGGCTGGTTGATTAGCATCGCTAGCACTGGGCTCTGTCGTGATTAGCTTTGTAGAAGAGGGTTGTTACTGTTGTTTAATGTGGATAAAGTTCTCACATCTGCACATAGACGAGAACTCAACAGTGTATTTTTGTCCTTGATCTCCAGGAGGTAAAAGTAACGCCCATATTTCCTGGACAGCAACCTCACACTGCCCGAACTGTGGGCCACTGCGTGGGCTAACGCTGACTGACTCACTCATTCACTGGGCTACCGTGAGGTCGAGTGACATTAGATCATAAATTACCATAATTATCTAACGAGTAATGAGCCCATTTAGATTTCCGTGATTATAATTGTTACATAATTTAAAAAGGTAATTAGATATTTTACTCGTTAGTGTAGTGGAATTATCATTACTGAGACTCGTTACTGTCAGCGCTGCTCTTTCGTGTGTAATTATGCGGTTTAGTTATGTTCACTTTGGGGTCTCAACTCTTTATGGTCAGCTGACTTATAACCTGCTCCAACATGGGAAACTGTTAGTGTTGTGTGACTGCGGGACTGTTTTCATGATGATCTTCAGATGTAATGCAGTGAGACTGGTCAGTCCGGAGCCTCTGGATTCTGACCGACTGATTCATGACTGAGCTGTTTCACATTTAGAGCAGGTTCAGCAGAAACACCTACAACTTCCTGCTGTAGTTTCAGCCTTTACCTCCAACAGAGCCACAGGATGAACCGCAGACGCTTCAAACCAGCTCTGCTAGAGAGAGGAACACACACGGCCTACATACACACACACACACGTACACACACACACACACACACACACACACACACACACTCACATACACACACACACACACAGACACACACACACACACACAGACACACACACTCACATACACACACAGACACACACACACGGCCTACATACACACACACACACACACACACAGACACACACACACACACACACACCTGTCCTTAAACTTAACCTTTATGTGTTTAATAACCGGTTATTTCTGATTCCTCCCTGCAATCCTCTCTCTCTCCCTCTCTATCTCTCACTCTCTCTCTCTCTCACTCTCTCTCTCTCACTCTCTCTCTCTCTCTCTCTGTCTGTCTCTGTCTCTCTCTCTCTCTCCCTCTCTATCTCTCACTCTTTTCTGCCTCTCTTTTCTCTTTGTATATTTCATCTCTCTCTCTCTCTCTCTCTCTCTCTCTCTCTCTCTCTCTCTCTCTCTCTGTAGGTACAGAATGCATGTGATTTGCTCATCAAGCCTCTGGAGAAGTTCCGGAAAGATCAGATTGGAGTCACAAAAGTGAGTGAACAGAAACGTGTATACAGCTGGAGCTGACTGATACGATCGATATGCTGACCCATCAGCTGATATATCACACATGGCTCATCAGTATCGGTGAACATTCCGGCCCTCGTGCTGATAATCAATGATCCTGATATGTTTATCTGTCAGACAGTAACACAAAGACAGCTTGAGAATCTGAACACAAACAGTGTCAAACCTTCCCACCTTTAGCAGCACAATGGCATTGTAGAACAAATTAGAGAACTGATGAATAAATGAGGGTATATAACAGAAACTAACACAGCCAAAAATTCGGGGCAGCTAGCTCCACCCCTACTATGTATATGTATGGGTCATTGTGCATTGTTTGTGTCCAAGTCTGTTATTTTCCCAAACATTATTTAGAAAATAAATGACATGCGTTATTCAACAGTACCTCTTTTATGTGAAACAGTTTTCAGTGCATCTAATAAAATTCATTTTAGTTTCTTTTTGCCTTCAAATGTCTAAAAATGTCAGGTGGTGCAACCGTCTAACCATACATGTTAATTCAAAACAGGTAATTCAGTCAGATAAAATTCCACATCAAATAGTTTGCCATGATTTTAAATTTGAAAACTTTCAAATAAAAACTGTGTTGCAAAATAAGGCAACTTTAAAACTTCTCGACTCACTAAAAAACTTTCGTCCGCAAGTTCTCACTTCCTCGAAAGTCAGGCAGCACAACTAAAAACAAAGGACTTTTATTTTGACATGCTTTCTTGAAAGAGAGGTCAGGGCATTGTATCATAAAGAAGACCCCAGTTAACCTTCCTGGTGCAATGCCAAGGTCAGTACCTCTTTCGCAAATTTAGTAAAAAATGTGATGTTTGAGTCATGTTTAGACGGTTCTGTTTACCATGTCAGGTGTTCTGACCTCAGGAGAACCATGAAAATGTGGAATTATGATAGTAATGTTACTTATCTGGAAAAAAATGTGTAAGTATAAACTCAAGTTAAAGGCCTATTTGTGTCTAAGTAGATGCCTGTTTAATTTGAAATTAGTCTGAAAAGTCAGGTGGCGCAACCAGTCAGTCAGATGGAGCAACCAGACCAGCGCAGTTTAATAACTGAAACAGGCCATTAAAAGCTTTGATAACACTCAATATATTTAAGATAGAAAATGCACATAGATATAACTGCAAATACATATGCAGATTTAAAAATGCACGTCATGCTCTTTTAATAAGATTTTCAAAAAATATCAGTTTGTAAAACCTTAACAAGTAACTGTCAACCACCTCATCGCCACACCTTTTCATACAATAAATAACTATATATAGTAAGTTATATATGTTATATAAATAACTTAATAAACAGTTTTTTTGTGAAAAAAAATGGGGTTATGTTTCATAAACATAGAAGCTTGTAGAAGTGACACAACAATACTGGCACAAAAATTAGTGTTCACTTTCCTGGAGGTGGACGGGGTTAAAAGTTGCACTGCAGCCAACCACCAGAGGGCGTCCGAGATGTTCTGGCTTCCCTTCGTCACCCCCTGTCATCCAGTCCACTCTTATATACAGTCTGTGGTCACTAGATTTGATAGTACGCTGCTTTGATTAATAAGGGCTGGTATTTTTATAGTGTACTTTAATTAATAACACTAGAAATGATTCAACACTAAAAAAATACATTCTCTAAAACGCAGAAGACAAATTGACGCGACACTCACTGGTGGGCGCCTGCATGCAGAAGCATTTCCTTCCTGTGAGGTTCTTTGGAAACCGTGTTTGACCACCACACACACAGTCGTATGCAAAAGTGTGAATATTAATTTGAGTAGTCTCGGTAGCCAAATTTCCTGTTCCACCTTAAACAGTGCAGCAGTTCTGATGCCTGAAGCACCCGAATGTAATGCTGCTCCATTTAAGGCGGAACAGGAAAATTCGAATGAGAATCTGGTGAATATCTGACTTCAGCTTCATATCACTGAAGAATTAGGGGTGGGTGATAATAAATAATTGCCCCCCTCTTTGAAGTCATATGATGCCCTAAATGTAACTAAAGCCCAGCAGTGAGGAGCTGAACTTTACCCTCCTCTGCTGTCACTGCAGACTGGCAGGGTCGCCTACAGAGCAGCGCTGGTAGCTGTTAATGAAGTGATGCTCTTTTTATTTGAGGGTCCCATTTCAGAGGGAGGATTTCAACCACTACCCCCTGTAACTCAGTTCTAAGGGGCAAGGAGACCCTCGAAAACAAGGGGTAGGGGTAGAAATGAGAATTGGGACTGGGCCTTAATCACACACGGGTCTTTACTACACTCAAATTACTATGAAGTCCCTGGTTGAAGCTGAAGTCTGCAGGTGTTAATAGTGAGTTTGTGCTGCAGTATCAGCCTCTACTCTACTGAGAAGGCTTTACACTAGATGTTGAACATTACTGTGAGGATTTGGTTGAGCGTTAGTGAGGTCAGATAATAATGTTGGATGATCAGTTCTGGATCAATAATCATCCCAAAGGTACTGGATGGAGCTCCATCACTCCAGAGAACACAGTTCTACGGCTCCACAGCCCAAAATCTACACTTTCCACGCGATATTTCCTCTTCTTTTCAGGGAACAGTGAGTTGGAAATAATCTCAGCGATAATATCGGCGAATCGGCCGAGCCCGTGTGGCGCTGCTGCGTCGATTTATGTTAATAAGCGGATTGCTGTCCGTTATTAATTTACAGAAATAACATTTTCATTTGTGTCGGTTCTTTTGGCCTGTAGAGAACGCTGACATTTTGAAGCGTCCAGACACTCACTGATTCATAGAAATATCTGTGGAAAAAGAGCTGCATCCAGAGACAGAGAGAGAGAGAGAGGGATGAAGTGAGAGAGAGATGAAGGAATGAGTTTAGACAGCAGTTGGAAAAAGTTAAACATGGAAAAGCTGCTCGCGCCAGAGACTGAAGACCGGATCGATCCAGAACTTTCCACACTGCGCTTTCATCTGTGTGGGTGCAGTAAGCGCTCTTGTCCACCAGGGGGAGAACTGAACCCATTTAGGAGTGTTCATGTCTGTTTGGGCATTAAAAAATTACAATAAAGTAGCATTTAATTAATCAAAATTAATTTATTAACGTTAAAAAAAGAAAAGAAAATTCAAAACTTAATAAAGAAAAAAATGCAAAAGAAAAAACAATCGAATAATCAAATAATAATGGGAAACAAATATATTGCAATTAAATAGTAGCAAACAAGCAATAAAAATAAGAATAAATCAATAAATCAAAAAAAATAAAAATACATTAATTAATCAAGAAATAAAAAATAAAACAATGAAGGGAAAAAAATCAAGAAATTTAAGAAGTAAATTAACCAATCATATTTATACCAAGTCCACCTCCTTGTTTTTACACTCACCGTCCATCTTATCAGCTCCACTGACCATATAGTTCCACTTTGTAGTTCTACAGTTACAGACTATAGTCCATCTGTTTCTCTGCATACTTTGTTACCCTGTTCTTCAGTGGTCAGGACCCCCATGGACCCTCACAGAGCAGGTTCTATTTGGGTGGTGGATCATTCTCAGCACTGCAGTAACACTGACATGGTGGTGGTGTGTTAGTGTGTGTTGTGCTGGTCTGAGTGGATCAGACACAGCAGTGCTGCTGGAGTTTTTAAACACCTCAGTGTCGCTGCTGGACTGAGAATAGTCCACCAACCAAAAATATCCAGCCAACAGCGTCCTGTGACCACTGATGAAGGACTAGAGGATGACCAGCACAAACTGTGCAGCAGCAGATGAGCTATCGTCTCTGACTATTGTCTGAGCCTTTTGAACGAGGCAGCCAATCAGAAGAGAATGAGAGAGCTCATTTACATATATCAGTCTTAAAGGCGCAGTAGCACAGTCAGCCTTTTTTAATTCTAAGGGAAGGTTGGAGTTAAAGAGACGCTGGAATCTGGTCATGTAAAAATGAGTTACGGCTGTTTTGTGGTGCCGAAGCCACACAACTGTCAGAAATGGACCTCAGTGGAAAAAAGGATACAAGAGACACGTAGAATCCAGGCCCTTTAAGGCAGCCGGACCACTTTAAATCACTTCACCTTTGCTGATGCCACAACTTTTTTGTGTTTTTGTTTTATGTTTCCAGAAATGTTGATTGTGTGTGTGTGTGTGTGTGTGTGTGTGTGTGTGTGTGTGTGTGTGTGTGTGTGTGCACGTGTGTTTCAGGAGCGGCGTAAGAAGTTTGAGAAGGAGAGCGAGAAGTACTACTCTCAACTGGACAAACATCTCAACCTGTCATCCAAAAAGAAGGAGACCCAATTACAGGAGGTAACAGAGACAGAGGAGAGAGAGAGAGAGAGAGGGAGGGAGGGAGTGAAAGGAGGGAGAGGGAGAGAGAACGTAAGTGAGAGAGGACGAAAGAGGGAGGAAAAAGGAAAAAAGGGAGGAGGGAGAGAGAGGTAAGGGGAGAGAGAGAGAGAGAGAGAGAGAGAGAGGGAGAGAGGGAGAGAGGGAGAGAGGGAGAGAGAGAGAGAGAGAGGTTAAATAAGGATGACAGAGATTTTAACTGTTCTGTAAAGTCACAACACAAACTGAACCCAAAATCAGCTGAATGTAAGTCTGACTGAGATGAAGTCCAGGCTGGTTTATCTTCCCGTTAGATGTTTATTTGTTTATTAGTTGGTTATTATTATGTTTTTTCTGTATTAACGTGCCGTAAATATTGAGTATTGAATGGTGTAATTAAAATGATTGATGTGGTGTTTTGATTAATCAGTAGTGTCTGTTAGCGTCTCACTGTGTGCAGTTTGAGTTGTTTACATTTCTAAAAGAAAGCTCTTTGTGTGCCTGTGTGTGTGTGTGTGTGTGCGTGTGTGCGTGTGTGTGTGTGTGTGTGTGTGTGCATGTGTGTGTGTGTGTATGCGTGTGTCTGTGTGTATGCGTGTGTGTGTGTGTGTCTGTGTATGTGTCTGTGTGTATGCGTGTATGTGCGTGTGTGTGCGTGTGGCGGTTAATATATGTGTGTGTATATGTGTGTCTGTGTGTATGTGTGTGCCTGCGTGTGTGTGTATGTGTGTGTGCGTGTGTGTGTGTGTGTGTGCGTATGTGTGTGCCTGCGTGTGTGTGTATGTGTGTGTGTGTGTGTGTGTGTGTGCGTATGTGTGTGCCTGCGTGTGTGTGTGTGTGTGTGTGTGTCTGTGTGTGTCTATGTGTGTGTGTGTGTGTGTGTGTGTGTGTGTCTGTGTCTGTGTGTGTGTGTGTGTGTGTGTGTGTGTGTGTGTGTGTGTGTCTGTGTGTGTGTGTCTGTGTGTGTCTGTGTCTGTGTCTGTGTGTGTGTGTGTGTGTGTGTGTGTGTGTGTGTGTGTGTGTGTGTGTGTGTGTGTGTGTCTGTGTCTGTGTGTGTGTGTGTGTGTGTGTGTGTGTGTGTGTGTGTCTGTGTGTGTGTGTGTGTGTGTGTGTGTGTGTGTGTGTGTGTGTGTGTGTGTGTGCATCAGGCGGACGATCTGGTGGATAAAGAGCGTCAGGCGTTCTACGAGTCGTCTCTCGAGTACGTCTACCAGATCCAGCAGGTGGAGGACAGGAAGAAGTTCGATATCGTTGAGCCTGTAAGCGAGTTCGTTTTTCCTTTCACACACATTCAGCTGTGTGAAACATCCTGTTTACACAGACCACAAATATTCGGACACTGACATCATTTTTCTTTCGGTCTCTGTACTCCAGTACATCCGACTTAATACAATGACTGAGTTTGAAAGGGTAATTCCACCACTTTTTCACAATTTCTACACGTTTAAATGCTGATAGTGGTATATCTGAAAAGATATTTTGTCTGACACCACCCTGCGTGTATCTCTCCACTCTAAATCTGATCTCAAAACTATCATAAAACAGTGTCTCAGACATCAGGCAGCAAATTAGTAGGCCTTTCATGTAGTAACTGTCTGTGAGGGAGCTTTTAGAGGAGGACGTCTGGTTCCTATCACCACCACTGTGAACAATTCTGACTCTGTAAGTTTATCTAGAGCAGAGCGTTTCACACCAAACCACTCTGACTCTGTTTACATCTTAACCACTTAGTTTCCTAGCAACCGAGTACACTCCCACAGCTGAAACGTAAACACAAAATCAAAATAACGTTAAAAATATAAGATACAGCTGCTGTTACTGATGTAAAAAAGGTCAAAATCAAACTAAAGTGTGATAAACTGTGAGTAGTGAATACTGTGAGAGCGCCCCCTGCTGTTTATCAGAGCGTCGCCGCTCCCCAGTTTCAGTCTCCGTTTCCCAAACGCTTTAGCCGAGTGCGCTAACGTTACTCCTCCTAATAAACAGACGCACGTTCAGCTCCGCCTCCTCATTATTCACCACCATCACTGTAATATTTCATCATCAACATTAACACACGAAGGTGATCAGAGGGGCGGTGGAGATCGAGTCTGCAGCGTCTGAGATCTTTAAAACGCAGAGTTAGAAAAGAAAATCATCTCACAGTGAAAGCAGCGTTTTACAGTAGAGATAAATGGAGCTCATTATGCTGGTAGTGAACTATGCTGCTGACTCAGCTGCCTAAAAACCATAGAAACGGACCTTAAACAGAAGTGAGGACCCTGTTGGGGTTCATCCTAAAGTTAGGACAGGATTTAGGAGGTTTAGTCTAGTTAGGATGTTTGTGTGATGCTGTTTTCTTATCTGGAGTTCATGATGAGATTATGAAGTTACTGTTATTCTGTAATAGATACTGTCCTGACTCATGATTCTGTATTACGGCTCCTGAATTCTGTGTGTGTGTGTGTGTGTGTGTGTGTGTGTCTGTCTGTGTGTGTGTGTGTGTGTGTGTGTGTGTGTGTCTGTGTGTGTGTGTGTGTGTGTGTGTGTGTGTGTGTGTGTGTGTGTGTGTGTGTGACAGGTGCTGGCGTTCCTGCAGAGTATTCTGACTCTGAATAATCTAACAGTGGAGATGACTCAGGACTTCCTGCCTTATAAACAGGAGCTGCAGTTGAGCCTGCAAAACGTGAGTCGGTCACATCCATCAGTCCACTATCAGTTTATTTAGTCAGTGAATCCGATCAATCAGCCTGACTCACACATCAGTCTTTTTTAGTCTGTTAGCTGCATGAATCGGTCATCTCAGTCTGCAGGACATCTGTTTTCATCAAAGAAATACAGTTCTTTAGTTATTACCACAGAACCAATGATTTCATGTTACTGACGTAAAATCATCTGCATTCAGCTCTTCTCTCCTTACAGAGGTTCTCAAACCTCAAGGACGACCAGACAGTGCACATTTTTATATATCACTTGCCACCAAATACCAGTTTTCTCCTAGAAACACAGACATTCTCCACTAAACACCACTATTCTCCACTAAACACCACCATTCTCCGCCACACAGCACCATTCTCCACCAAACACCAACATTCACCTACAAACACCACCATTCTCCACCAAACACTGACATTCTTCACCAAACACCATCATACTCCACTGAACATCACCATTCTCCTACAAACAGCACTATTTACCTACAAACACCACCATTTTCCACCAAACACCACCATTCACCTACAAACCCCACCATTCTCCACCAAACACCACTATTCTGCTACAAAAACCACTCTATTCTACCAAACACTACCATTCTCCACCAAACACCGACATTCTCAACCAGTCACTGTCATTCTCCACCAAACACTATCATTCCCTACCAACACCACCATTCTCCACCAAACACTATCATTCTCCAACAAACACCAACAATCTCCACCAAACACCACCATTCTCCAGCAAACACCAAGAATCTCCAACAAACACCACCATTCTCCAACAAACACCAAGAATCTCCAACAAACACCACCATTCTCCAGCAAACACCAAGAATCTCCAACAAACACCACCATTCTCCAACAAACACCAAGAATCTCCAACAAACACCACCATTCTCCAACAAACACCACCATTCTGCAACAAACACCACCATTCTCCAACAAACACCACCATTCTGCAACAAACACCACCATTCTCCACCAAACACCAAGAATCTCCACCAAACACTAACATTCTCCATGTCACCTTTATTCTCCAGCAAACAGTCATTCTCTACCAGACACCATCATTCTCCACCACACACCTCTGTTTTCCACCAAACACTGCCAAACACCATCATTCTCCACAAAATACTATTGTTCTCCACGAAACACCATTGTTCTCTGCTAAATACTGACATTCTCCACCAAACACCACCATTCTTGACCAAACACCACCATTCACCTACAAACACCACCATTCTCCACCAAACACAACCATTCTCTGCCAAACACCACCATTCTCTGCCAAACAGCACCATTCTCCAACAATCACCACCATTCACCTACAAACACCACCATTCTCCACCAAACACCACCATTCTTGACCAAACACCACCATTCTCCACCAAACACCACCATTCTCCACCAAACACCACCATTCTGCGTTCTGATGTGAAGTTAGACTGAAAAAGTCAGGCCTTTTTTTTTGAGTGCGACTGAACCGTATCGCTGTTGTCGCCACAGACGCGTAACCACTTTGAGAGTACGCGAGAAGAAATGGAGGAACTGATGAAGAGGATGAAACTGCCCAACCCCATCTTCATCAGACACGGCCAGCAGCCGACCATAGAGGGCTACCTCTATGTCCAGGAGAAACGTGAGCATTATTACATGTCATAATAGCCTATAAAAAGTTTGTAAGCACCGTTTAGGTATTCATAAATCATTCCGTCTATGAGAAAAACCCTTAGAAATCTAGAGTTATTATTGGTATTTTACTGTGCTTTTTATATGTATTTATACAATCACATAATTAATTGTACAGGGGTGGAGGGGGGGCACAGTTCTTATTCAACTCTGCCAATATAAATACAGTCTTTTATCCCAGATAGTTAGCATATGGCTGTTATTGAAAGAAAACACTGTATCTCCAAAATAGTAACTTTGCAGGAGAAGGGAAAAACCTACTTCAATTCTAATGTAAGTCAATGGAACCAGACTTTTTTTCAAGTAGTTTTGGGTCATTTCTTTTAGTCCGTTCATCATGAAATTTACATACAATGTAAAGGGCAACAGGTACTATGCCATAAACTAAAAAACGTCAAAAAATTGAGATATGAGGTTTTCTTCCGACAACAGCGAGATATCGGTCCGCTGGCTTGAGAAAGTTGGCACCACACTGACTGTTCGCCACTGCTGGTCCACCTTCAGACCACCCAGATTACTGTCCTGCATACAAGCTCTACCTAGTTTTTAATCTCCTCAAACAGATTTTAAATCCACAGAGACTTTTATTTTGGAAAACAAACCAAGACAAATATTACAAGCAACTGAGAGAGAAAAAATAATGACTCTCGTATAAAATGATTTTATATGATTTTATATGATGTTGTTGCTGATACTGAGCTGGATTAAAATGATTTACTGAACTAAATTACAAAGTATAAATAATATGAATAAAGTAAATTGGACTGTGAGTGGAAAATGAGCGATGATAGATGGAATTTTGTCTAATACTCAGGGATTCTATGGCACTTTCATAAATATTACATCTAAAACTCAAATTCCTGTGGCGATTATGATTATTTTTCTCCCGGAACCAGATGACAGGCAGTTCTGTGCCTTGAAATATGTCATTACTTCTGAGTGCTCATATTGTGGTTATAAACGAGCGCTCAGAGACTCCGTAACGAGCTGGTCAGCCTGCAGTCCTGTGAGAAATCATTTATAAAAAAATAAACTTCCTCCAAATTCTGTTGAGTATTTTCCAAAAGGAAAATCACTAATTAATTATGAATTACAAAGCGCATAAGCAGCTGACGGCTGGACGCTGTCCTGCAGTCCTGTGACGCAGCTTGAATAGAAAGGCCACATGACAGAGTCTGTCCTGTCAGTTTATCATGACTAATTACTTCACCGACTGCTCCTCAGCTGGAGGCTGTGATTACACTGCAGATGTGGTCGTATTAATGTGCATTAGGAGTAGCAGAAAACCACTAAGTGTGGAGAACAGACGTCCCTGAGCTCCCATCTGTAACCAGAGTCTCGACTCTTCCAGCTCTGTGTAATTATTAGCCTCTTAAACTCTCACAGCAGGATCACTGAGACCCTCTGCAGCTTCCAGGCAGCCGAGTTTCGCTCCTGCAGGAACAGAGCAGCTCAGAAAATGAGAGTTAGCGCGAGGCCTGTTAGCGCGAGGCCTGTTAGCGCGAGGCCCGTTAGCGCGCGGCCCGTTAGCGCGAGGCCCGTTAGCGCGCGGCCCGTTAGCGTGAGGCCCGTTACCGCGAGGCCCGTTAACGAGCGACCTGTTAGCGCGCGGCCTGTTAGTGAGTGACCTGTTAGCGAGAGCGGCCTGTTAGCGCGAGCGGCCTGTTAGCGCGAGGCCCGTTAGCGAGCGACCCGTTAGTGCGAGGCCCGTTAGCGCGCGGCCCGTTAGCACGCGACCCGTTAGCGCGAGGCCCGTTAGCGCGAGGCCTTTAGAAACTGTAGATGATGCTTTGACACTTGAAATACACAGAGATTGTGTTACAACCTGTTATTAACTGCCTTCTCTCTCTCTCTCTCTCTCTCTCTCTCTCTGTATATATGTATATATATATATATATATATATATATATATACATACATATATATATATATATATATATATATATATATATATATATATATATATATCCCTCTCTCCGCATCCTCTCTCTCTTTCTCTCTCTCTCTCATCAACTCTATCGCTCGCTCTCTCTTGCTCTCTCTCATCCACTCTCTCTTTCTCATCCACTATCTCTGTCGCTCTGTCTCTCTCTCTTTCTATTTCTCCCCTCTCTCGCCCAATGTCTCTGTCTTTCGGCGTGTGTGTCTCTCTCTCTCTTTCATCCTCTTCTTTCTTTCTGTCTTTCTTTCTTTTTTGTCCTTCCCTCTCTCTCCGTCTCTCTTTCTTTCTCCTTCATCCTCGTCTTTCTGTATTTTTCTTTTATCCCTCTTTCTTTGTCTCACTTTCTTTCTTTCCTATCCCCCCCTCTCTCTCTCTCTCTCTTTCACCCTCTTCTTTCTTTCTTTCTTTCTTTTTCTTTCTTTCTTCCTTTCTTTCTCTCTCTCTCTCTCTCTCTCTCTCTCTTTCTCTCTCTCCCTCTCTCTCTCTCTCTTTCACCCTCTTCTTTCTTTCTTTCTTGCTTTCTTTTTCTTTCTTTCTTTCTTCCTTCCTTTCTTTCTCTCTCTCTCTCTCTCTCTCTCTCTCTCTCTCTCTCTCCCTCTGTTAGGGGCGTTGGGGATGACCTGGGTGAAGTACTACTGTAAGTATATGAAGGGTTCTAAGCTGCTGCTGCTGCTGCCAACAGAACAGAAACCTGCAACCAAACAGGTAAACATGATCAGCGGCGTCCCGTTTAGAGTAGTGTCCCCTTTAGAGGAGTGTCCCCTTTAGAGTAGTGTCCTCTTTAGAGGAGTGTCCACTTTAGAGGAGTGTCCTCTTTAGGGGAGTGTCTCCTTTAGAGGAGTGTCCTCTTTAGTGTCCTCTTTAAGGTGAAAGTCTGGAGAAAAGTCTAATTCCCCCAGTTTCCCTCCACCCTGTCCACAAGCACAGCCCATCAGCCCGAACGTGTCCGGTGTCAGAAGTGTGTTTGTTTAATGTTTAGTTGACACGCTGTGATCTGTAAACATACAAGAACGTCAAGTAGCTAAAAACCGTTAAGCCTGGGTTCTGTCCACACTTCAGTCTATGTTAATACATTCTCAATGAATATGGTGAACGTGTTTTATATGGTTCTATATAGAACCTTTCTGAAAAGGGTTCTATAAGGCACCCAAAAGGGTTCTTCTATTGTTATGATGTCAAGCTTGTCTTAACAGTACATGGAGAACACATTCTCCATCAATCTAAAGAACCATTTCACCATGCAAAGAACCATTTAAGCGTACAGGTGGTTCTTTTCTATATAAAGCCACTGTCTTTCCTGAGGAGCCCGTGAAGAACCATCTTTTTAATAGTCTAGATAACAGTGAGTCATACAGGGTCAGAAACCACTTAATGAAGTCTAGTAGAGATACTGAACTGCTCCACCCAGGTGTGGGAAGATCTAGATATGCAGTTAGCGCCAATGCTAACTGATGGGGTGTTCCGTTACTCTTTAGCTGCTTTAGCCTCGTAGCTCCAGCGCTAAAACTAAAGAAGAGAAACTTCAGACACCAAACAGGTCTTGGCTGATCGACTGTGCTTGGAGTAAGAGGAGGAGACTGGCTTTGATTCTTCACCAGACTATCGCTTTGACTTTTCAATCTCACTTCTTTCTCACACTAATATGCTCTCTCTCTCTCTCTCTCTCTCTCTCTCACTCTCCTCTCCTCTCTCTGTCTCTCTCTCTCTCTCTCTCTCTCTCTCTCTCTCAGGTTCCTCTCGAGCTCACTCTAAAGTCATGTATTCGGCGTAAATCCGAGTCGATCGATAAACGCTTCTGCTTTGACATCGAGACACAGGAGAGGTGAGAGACAACATCACCCCTCCTCCTCGTGTGCAGCTCCGAAATGAGCAGCCACCTGGGTTACCATAGCAATGGCCTAGCAACACATTAGTAATCACCTGGGATACCATGGCAATGGGCTAGCAGCACTGTAGCAACCACTTGGGATACCATAGCAATGGCCTAGCAGCCCCTTAGCAGCCACCTGGGTTACCATAGCAATGGCCTAGCAACACCTTAGCAACCATCTGTGATACCATGGCAGAGACTGACCAGCACCTTAGCAACCACTTTGTTTGATCTTTGATTATTGGTGATTGTTGGTGATTATTGGTGATTGTTGTTGATTATTGGTTATTATTGGTGATTGTTGGTGATTATTGGTGATTGTTGGTGATTGTTGCCGCAGACCCACGTTCACTGTGCAGTCCATCTCTGAGGTCAACAGGAAGCAGTGGATGGAAGCTATGGATGGAAAAGAGCCGGTGAGGTTTATCCACAACATTTCTAGTGCCACCTTCTGGCCTGGAAGAACAAATGCATTGTTCTCTCTGTCTAAGTAGTTACATTAAACCGTATAACTGTTAACCGCTTTACCTGTTAAGCTATTTGGAATTATTAATAATGAATTAATTTGTGTTCAATTTGTGTTCAATCATGTACACAAGTAAGGACCATAACGAATATTTATATGAAAGAATAGTAAAATTAAATATAAACATTAGAAATAAACACAGTCTACATACAGCACAGAAAAACAAATATATATTTTGTTTTTTCTGAGCTTTTTCTGGTTAAATTATGGGCTTGTTTTCTCTGATCTTCACTCTCAGCCTCTCTGTCACTGATTAAAGCTGTAGTTGTGGGTCTGCACTGTTCTAATGTTCTAATATATCTCTTTAATGTTCTTCTCTTTATCTGTTTCTCCTGTAGATTTACCACTCCCCCATTCACAAACAAGCCGAAAGTATGTAACACGTTCATACTTTTTATTTTGTATATAGAACCTTATAGAACTTTCACTTTCTAGATAGAAAATTATGGAAATTTCATTTTCTAGATAGAACCCACTATAACTTTTACTTTCTAGATAAAACTTTATCGAACTTTCACTATCTAGATAGAAATTTATAGAACTTTCTCTTTTTAGACAGAACTTTATAGATAAAACTTGGTGGACTTTCACTTTTTAGCTAGAGCTTTTTAGAACTTCACCTTTCTAGGTTGATGAACTTTATAAAACTTTTTTTCATAGATAGATCATGATAGATAGAACTTTAGAACTTTCACTTTTCAGATAAAGCTTGACAGAACTTTATTAAATGTTTACCCTAGAGACAGAACCTTATAGAACCTCATTAAAACCTTATAGAGAAAATTTGATAGAATGTCATAAAACTTCACTTTATAGACAGAACCTTCGAGGTAGAACTTCGCAGAACTTTCACTTTATAAATAGAACTTCAAAAATTCAACTTTATTAGAACCTTATAGATGAAACTTGCTAGATAGAATTTTGTAGAACGTTCACTTTATAGACAGACTGACAAATTGAACTTCTTATGAAGTTTTACTGTAAAGACAGAACTTAGTAAACTATAAGCTTGATGTTTAGAACTTTAGTAGAACTTTCACTTTACATATAGAACTGCTGATTTTAAAAGCTCTAAAAATCTTTAGTAAATTTTAACCTTTTTGTTTATTTCTTTATTTTGCTTAAATTTCATGTACTACATGTATTGATTTCCAAATTTAAATTTTTAAATATGTTGAAGTTTTAAGCTTAGAAGTCATCAGTTGGTGAATGAAACTGATTTAATGTGATTATTTGTGTTTTTTCTGCAGTGGAACTGAACGAAACCGGCTTCAAGTTTGTCAGAAAATGCATCAACGTGATCGAGACCAAAGGTAGAACATCTGTTCCTCCTCAGTCGGTCAGAGCTTTTATTAATCTGCGCTCGATAAAAGACGTTGGTTCAAAAACTCTAATCAATCAATAACACCAACATAAACCGGCACATCTTTACAGTGAAGGAAGAAAAAAGTCATTATTAATTAATGACGCATGATAATAATAACAATATAACAATAATAATGAAAATTTACTTTTGTTTAGAAAAATGAATAAAATCAGCTAATAAGCCGGTCTTAGTTCAACTCTGTATTCATTTGCAAATTCCATGTTTCGGTGAATTTTTTAAGTGTGAATAAGTTTACACACCCTCTACAGAGAGCACAGTTTAGAACACAGTTACTGTTTATTGGCTGAATTTAACTTACTGGGAAAAAACTAAATATAAAATGCGGCCTGTGTGAAAGTTATGGCACATTTTATATTTGATGTTTTTCCAAAATGTTAAACTGAGCACATAAATAGAACTTTTACACTAAAATTCTCTAAAAGGCCATATTTAGGTGTGGTCTCTGTAGTCCCCTGTAGACTGTCTAAAATAAATGTGTTCGTTGACTGGATGCTGAATGTCCTAGTTGTTTTCTTCGTCAGCCGTTCGGAGTAGAGCTTTCACGTTACACATGCAGAAAAATCTGTTTGACTCTGAGCGTATTGTTGTTGAGTTGGGGTGGGATGGAGATTTTACAGAAGCAGTAGTAACTGTGTGTAATTACATCCTGACAAATTTGAATCATGTAAAATTTGGTTTCAAAATTGCGAAAAAAAAGACAGAATTCTCGGCCCTGAAATGCTGGGGGCGTGTCCGCTGAAGGTGCTGAAACCACGCCCACTCACTGGAAAGGTGCAGCCTCTCTTCAGCTTTGTATTCGCCAGAATGTAACTGCTGCACTATTTAAGGTGGAATGGGAATCCGTCTTAGCTCGCTAGGTTAGCAGCAGAGCCTCTCATGGATTGAAAAGAAGCCACTAGCAGAGCTTCAGCACAGAATTCGCTCCATCTAGCAGCTTCTAGCAGTTTGTAAAACATTAAATAAAAATTATTACAGTTGTCGGTTTATTGTTGCTATTACAGTATTTTTATATGTGGCACTACAGGCTCTATTTTATCTGTCTTAACTTATTAAAGTAAATAGCGTGATGCATACCTTGAAAATCAATGTATCGTGATAATAGTTTTTGCCATATCGTCCACCCCTACATAGCAACAGCATAGCAGCTACCTGGAATACCCTAGCAACCACCTGGAATTGCTATTTAAACCCAGTTAAGTTGTTAAAAACAAACAATCAGCCGTAATCTACAACTTAAATATAGCAAATAAATAGGAATGATTTCATAACATGTGCAGATGTAACGGTGGAGGCAAGGAGGCAGGATGCAAGTGCGAGTTGCTTTTATTCAAATTAGAGTTAACTGCAGTCTGAAAAACAGACATGTCCAGCCAGTTAGGACGAGGGACCGGGCAGGAGACGAGACTGAAGACAAAAGTGGAGAGAGAACAGGAGACTGGAGCGGAGATACAGGATACAAGAGGGAAGTCTGGACAGAGGAACAGACAGTGGGCTGGGCAAAAGACTGCATAGGAGGCTGGAAAGATGGCAGAACAGGAGATGGAGTTAATGTAGACATAGCAACAGGAACAGACATGGTTACTGGGACAGGGACAGAAACATGGACAGGAATGGGTACAATAAGACCAAACACAGAAACAGGAACCCTGATTGAGACGGGTACAGATATATACATGGTTACAGGGACAAAAACAAAACTATGGACTAGAGACTGGACAGACTTGGGGGAACACAGAATTATGAAGTTCATGCAGGCGAAGGAACTGGGTGGCAGACTGAGCAGGGAACTGGAAAGGCAAGGAGAATGGTACTTAAGCAGGGAGCTGGGGAAACGTTGCAGGAGCAGGATGTTGGAAGGCTGGCACGTGAACAGGAGGCTGGGAGCCAGTCACTGGACACTGGAAGACCGGCACTGGAGCAGGACGATGAAAGGCTGACACTGGACGCTGAAAGGTCGGCACCGAAGCAGGACAGGAAATGAGAAAAGGAGTGGCTCGGGGTTCAGGAGCAGGAACTGGGGTGGCCTGGGGGGCAGGCACAGGAATGGCCCAGAGAGTAGGAACTGGAGATCCTGAGGCCACGGGCAGGTCTGGAGATAAGGAGGCTATCGGCAGGTTGAGGAACACAGCAGGGACTCTCGGCGGCAGGCGGCACTGCTGCGACGTCCACGGAGACAGGCGGGCCTGCTGCGACGTCCTCGGAGGCAGGCGGTCCTTGGAGGCAGGCGGTCCTTGGAGGCAGGCGGCCCTGCTGCGATGTCCTCGGAGGCAGGCGGCCCTGCTGTGACGTCCATGGCTGCTGGCTGAGCTGAGAGCAGGGAAGCTTCTTTCTCTTTACCAGGGAACAAAAACTGAAGCCGACGCAGCAGATGGTAACTCTCCTGAAGTCTGACCTCATTCTCCTTAATAAGTTCCTGCACACTCGCTGCTTCCCTGTGTGTCAGTAACGGTGGAGGCAAGGAGGCAGGATGCAAATGCGAGTTGCTTTTATTCAAATTAGAGTTAACTGCAGACGTCTGAAAAACAGACATGTCCATGACAAAAAACAAAACTACAAAATGAAAGAAGACAAGTTACAAAGTACATCCACAATGCAACACCGAGACTGAACAAGCACAGGGGTATAAATACACAGAGGGGAAACAAGAAACACCTGTGACTAATGAGGGGTGGAGCTACAGGCAGGTGGAACAGATAACAAGGGGCAAGACCAGGGAGGAGACACAGAACAACAACAACAACAAGCACATGGTACAAGAAAACAAAAGACACATGGCTACCATGGGGGGGCGAAAGACACACTGAGAGGGACAAAGGGAGAATCCATGACAGCAGAACCGACTCCCAGGTACAAGATCAGCGAACATAAGACTGTAAAATGAATTTTTTTCTAAGCTGTGGCCTCAAAGAGTTAAACAAAAATAACTACACCGTGGCCGGTTTGTGGCCTTTAAACAGATGCAGATTCTGATGTCGAGGAGAATTCTTGAAATATTATTTGATTTATTACAAAAGTGCTTTCAAGAATAATACGGGCTCATCCTCAGCTTTTCAGTGGCAGTTTTTGGGCAGTCGGTAAATAGAATTTATGAAGATATGAAGTTTACAGACTTCAGACTTTATTAAACCTGTGTAATATTTGGGCTTCAGCTCATTAAAGCTGCTGTATTTACGGCTGTGCAGTCGTGGCTGTATTTATAGCTGTATTTATTGAGGGAGATTACAGAATCGGACAGTCTTCATTACAGGCGCACACACACCACGCGTCCAAAAAACACACACACACATTAACACTGAGCCAGTAGAGGGCAGCAGCGCGCCGTAGAGCGCAGCTCAGCCGAGAACAGGAGCGTCTAAACAGAAACCTGTAAAGCTCTGGTTCTCTAACGCATCTGAAAAAAGGAGAGAGCGAAAGAAGGCAAAGCATGAAGAGAGGAAAAAGTAGTAAGTAAAAATATAGAGAAAAGTGCAAAAGACTTTAATTCGTACATAAAACAGGCATAAAACCTAGAAAAAAAACACAGAAAACACATATTTAACAGAAAATTACATGATATATTTTTTCATGTTCATGTTTTCAGGAGGCTTATTTTCAGTTTCTCAAAGAAATCCGCAGCCACACCTCCAAAATCGCCATTTCTCTGCGGCTATTAATCAGTTTTTTAACTCCAGTTTTTACGGAAACTCCTGTTTTTTCACGTATTTTACTTCGACCGTCTCCTTTCTTTTGGAAATGGATATTTTGTTTTGTTTTTATATCTAATCTCCTCAGAAATGTCCCCTGAAAAATAGATTACCTGTCCTTAATGGGTTCCCCCTCTACACCCTTAAAAAAAATGGTTCTTCAAAGGTTCTTCAGTAAAGACAGTGGTTCTGTGGAACCATAAACCAATTGCATGCTTGGAAATGGTTCTTTGCATGGTGTAATGATTCTTCTGATCAGTGCAGAATGTTCCGTATATGGTTCTATTCAGCACCAAAAAGGGTTCTCCTGTTGTTACAAGCTTGGCATCATAACAAAACCCTTTTTGTTGATATATAGAACCCTTTTCAAAAAGGTTCTATACAGAGCCATCTGCAGTTCTTTATCAATCTGAAGAATGATTTCACCAGGCAAAGAACTGTTTAAACCTGCACATTGTTCCTTGAGTGTTCATGGTTCTAAATAGAACCATGATCTTTATTAAAGAACCCTTGAAGACCCATCTTTTTTAAGAGTGTACATTATTCTTGTGACATTAGATGGTTCTTTGCATGGTGAAATGGTTCCTCAGATTGTTGGAGAATGTGCTGAATATAGTTCTGTATAGCGCCAAAAAGGGTTCTCCTGTTGTTACAAGCTTGACATAATAACAAAACCCATTTTGGTGCTATATAGAACCCTTTTCAAAAGGTTCTGTATAGAACCATGTACAACACATTCTCCGTCAATCTAAAGAACGATTTCACCATACAGAGAACCAATTAAGCATGCAAATAGTTCTTTGAGTGTTCATAGTTCGAAATGGAACCACTGTCTTTACTAAAGAACCCTTGAAAAGAGTGTTCATTATTTTTTCAACCTCCCTTACAGTCCCCTACAGTTAAACAGGCTGTTTTTGTTACTATGAATTTAAAACTCGTGCATGTAAATGAGCTCTGTTTTGATTGGCTCGCCTTGTTCAAAAAGCAGTTCATATTGAAACATCAGCGTGAGGGGGCGGGGTTTAACTGCTGCTGGCTGAAAAGGCAAATATATGTACCATGTGTTTCTGTGACATCACAAAAGAAACAAATTCAAAACAGGAGTCTATAATTACAGTAAATTACCGTACTAGTTTCATTACTTTCACAGTAATTTGCTGAACCAAATTAACAGTAAATACAGTAAAATAACTGTATACAGTATCTCCACAGCACCTGCACCACATGATTGCCGTGATGTAGCTGTGTTCTGTGGTACATAACAGTAATAAGTTGTCAAAATACGGTAATCGCCTGTATTTTTACATAATAACTGTAGAAGCATTGCAGTAGTCAGTAATCTATTAACCATTTATATGTTGGATATGTTGGATATTTACTGGACCAATAAATATGTCTTTTTTTATTTAGGTAAAGTGAACTCAAAAAAAAGTAACACATTTATTCGTAGTGTTTTGCACTACATATGCACTGAATATACATTTTACAGATAGTTTAACTTTGCTCCAAAAATGTGGTAAAATAAACAATACAAATTTTTAAAATTCTCAGTTGCTGTCATATCCCATAATGCTATGCTACACATAAAACCTCATTGTAATTTGCTGTGTCGTTATAGGAAAAATGAGTTGATTTCACAACAAAATCAATAAAATGATGAACACAGAATTTTATAGTGGAAAAATTAGTGTTAAAGGTTGTGAAATCCTGGTAATAATTGACCTCTTAAATGGTCAGGGCCCACCAGAAGGCCCAAAGTTTTATTACACACTTCTATAACTTAAGAATAGCTAAGCTAGTCTGAAGTCCCTGTAATTACTGAATAATAAGCCTTAGTATGTAATAAGCCCGAGATTTTAAGGGGTTTCAGTACATTTTGAAACTTTAAGTGTTTTCATGCTACATCAGACTCTTTTATTTCAAATAGGTGAGATCAATTCAGGAACAGTCAGTTTTCTATGATATGGGCTCTTTAATGGATGTTTTGATTCCTGTAAATAATTAAAGGGTCTCTAAAGAACTGAATTCTCCTTTTTTCAATAATTGATAATTAATATTATCAACACTTAAACATATAAAATAAAAAGGAAACTAAATGGAAACTAAGCTGCACACACACCATCACATTTACATACATCTGCCTGTATATTCAGCCTGCAGGAATTTAGCCCCTCCCACTCAGAACAAGTTATATGGAATGTTTCAGCCTGGACTGCTTTCTGAGTGAGGCACAGCCAATCAGAACGGAGCTCATTTTAATATGGCAGTCTTAAAGACGCAGTAACCAAAAAAGCCTGTTTAATTCTAGGATTTCAGGATCAGTGGTGCTTTTACAGGTGCGCAGATTATCGATTATACACAGTATACATTTCCACTGAGCATCAGTCCATCTCAGGTGAGATCAAGCCCAGAGAAGTCGGCGGTGTTTCTGGACGTTGTTGATATGACTTCATCTGTGCATAGTACAGTCTTAACGTTTGTGGGTGCAGTAACGAAACAGTGTTTGTTGACACGTATTCCCGAGCCCGTGAGGCGATATCCATCACAGAAACATGCCAGGTTTTAATCGCTGGCTCAGGAATGTTTTTAAACTGCTGTCCCGTTTTCGGCATCGGTGGCAAGCCTCAACCCATCCTCGCCTCTAAAGGACTCAGTCTTTCCTCAAGCATGATTACATCACCTGTTTAAGATGTTTGTGAACATTTAGCAACATTTCAAGTGTTAAATTCCCAATTTGTTTGGAAAGTGTTGCAGGCATCAACTTTAAAAATGACGATATGTTTACAAAAAACAATGAAGTTGACAAGATAAAACATGAATTATCTTGTGTTTGTACTGCTTTAATTTAATCACAGCTCAAAGTGTGTTGAAAGATCACTGCTTTCTGTTTTTGAAATTGAGGTTTGTAATAAATAATAATCTCTAATGGTTATATAACATTTGCACTTATAGACAGACTAGATGTGTAACATAGTACCTAGAAAATGAAGTACAAAAGAAAGTAAAATGATAGTAATGGTTACACAGTTGTAATATTACAGTTATATATCTATAATATTGATTGTTACTGTAATCAGTAACAGTTATACATCTTTAATTGTAGCAACAGTGTCAGTAATGGTTATGTAACTTTTAGCAATAACAATCATTTCATATTCAGGAAGCACCCGAGTGTCTGTCAGATGCCTAAGGCCATATTTCATATAGAGCTCGTAAAAGTTTTTACAGCTCCATTTTTGTTACAGTGAGCCAAACACTTCCTGCGCCGACTGTCGACTGTTTACAAGCAGGTTTAAGCGTCCAGAGTAAACATATATGCAGAATCGTGGGTGAGTTCTGAGCCCCAAAGCACCTTAATATTGTTTTAAAACCTAAAAAATACCAAATTATGCGATAATTCCCTGTATTTAGAACCAATAGTGTATCTGCCTCTCGCTTGACATTTGACATTCTCTTGCTGTTAAAACATGTTGTATTTGTTGTAAATTATCCAAAAAAATACAAATGCAAAAAAGACAGTATTTAGTATGATGTCACTGCTTCCCACCTTCCCACGTCTCTGCATCAGCCGCACACTGGCTGATATAAAGTGCGGAGCTGCTAAGGTGCAGATCCACCCTGAGCGCGTCTCAAACAGCCGTAGACACAGAAGTCGTCTCTCCAAGTTCAGAGCTGTGACAGAGCAGCGAGTAACAGCTTTTAAAAGACCAGCAGGGAAATCACTGTGAGGAAAACAGCCCGTTTTAAATGTAATCAGTAATCAGGTATATAACTTTAGGAGTAGTACCTGTATATACCCATATTATTATTATTATTATTATTATTATTATTTTTACTCTACTGTGTTATCTCTCTCTCTCTCTCTCTCTCTCTATATATATATATATATATATATATATATAAATAATAGTATATAACATATATAACAGATTTTAAATGTTATAAATGATAATAAAACTTCATATTTAATTTATAATATGTATATCACTTTTATTTAGTATTTAGTATTGCCTATATGCAAAAAGTATATAATAAATAAAACTTTTAGTTTAAAGTACATGTAAATATATAATCAGTAATGTAACTTTGACATTAATAGTAATAGTAAGTAATCAGTGATGTGTGTATAACTTTAGTAAATATATGTATATATTATCAGTTATAGATCTAATGGATACATAGCTTTGATATTAGTAAATATTAGTAAATGATAATAAAGGTTCACATTTGATCTATAATGCGTATATTGCTTTAGTATTAGTAAATGCATGTATGCAAAAAAATGTATATCATATAAGATCACTAATGGACCTGTAATGTCAACATCATTAAAAATATAAAAATAAATAATCAGTAATGTGTAAATGACCGTGGTATTAGGGTATTAGTGTGTGTGTGTGTGTGTGTATATATATACACACACACATAATATCAGTCGTGGATCTGCAATTTTAGCATTAGTAAAAAATATACGTAATTCTATCATTTTAACATGCATAAATAACGTAAATGCATATGTTTAAGGAGAAACAGCCTCAGCCACAGTTAAGTAGTGTTCGGATTAGCCGCAGCGCTGGTGTTGATCGCGGTGTTGGCAGTGGAGTCGGTGCGAGTGTAGCAGCAGTGCTAACGGTTTTATGTTGCTGATGTTAACATGTGGAATGTCCTGAACGAGGCTGGTTTGTTTGTGGATGGATTTAAGCTGCAGAACGCACCGAAACCTGATGAAAGAATGTCACTACGACATAAAACCTAATACTTGGCTAGCACCCGGCTAATGTTGGCTAAGTGCTAGCTGGCTCTGCTGCTTCAGCAAATCGTTGTACTTTTCCACTTCACTGGCCTGACTTTACCCCGCTTACAGCACTCCCCCTTTCTTCTCGACACGATGCCTCCCTAATTCTCTCTCTCTCTTTATCTCTTTCTCTATCTCTCTCTCTCAGGGCTGAGTCAGGAAGGAGTGTATAGGACCGTCGGCAGCAACATCCAAGTACAGAAACTGCTGAATGCCTTTTTTGGTGAGAGAATGACCTACAGAACAGCTGCTCCATGTGTGGCGTTGTTTGTGCAGGCGTTTGTTTCTGCCTCTTTCCTGATTTTGCAGTAAAAACAGAGAGAACAGGTCTAACCTGCAGCACAGAGAACAACAAAATAGGCCTGACTCTCTGAAGTGAAAGAGTGAAACCACTTCCTGTGGTTAAGATTAGGATTATGATAGAAAACTTGGCATATAGATACTTACACATCGCTGTTGTCGGAATAAAACATCTCCAGAATGGTGGCTTTACAGGAGAAGGAAAAAACACACTTTACTTCTAAACCCACTGCTTTACAGTTCTTCATTTGATGCAGTTCTAGGACCCACAGTTTTGCAGTTCTAGATTCTGCAGAACCCACAGTTTTACAGTTGTGTTTATCAGTTTAGAATCTGTAGTTCTGCGGTTGTAAAACACCCAGTCTTGCTTCTCTAGAATTGATAGTTGTAGAAACCACAGTTTTTCCGTTCTGGAATCCATGATTCAGCAGTTGTAGAACCCACCACTTATATACGTCACACACACGAATATATACGCTGATATCAAAACCACCTTTTTGTTTCTACGCTCAGTGTCCACTTTATCAGCTCCACTGACCATATAGTTTCACTCTGTAGTTCTACAGTTACAGACTGTAGTCCATCTGTTTCTCTGCACACTTTGTCACACTGATCTTCAGTGGTCAGGACCCCCACAGGAACCTCACAGAGCAGGTACTATTTGGGTGGTGGGTCATTCTCAGCATTGCAGTGGCACTGACGTGGTGGTGGTGTGTTGTGCTGGTGCAAGTGGATCAGACACAGCTTTGCAAGAGTTTATATGTGCATATATATATATATATATATATATATATATATATATATATATATATATATATGTATATACATAAACACAGGTTACATAGCAAGAATTTATATATATATAGCTCCAGTGCTAAAACTAAAGAATACCGAAATTCTGTTTTTTTTTCCTGAATTGTCACTTTTATCCTGTCTGTGTCTGTCTGTCTGCCTGTCTGCCTGTCTGTCTGTCTGTCTGTCTGTAGACCCCAAGTGTCCAGGTGATGTGGATTTGAACAGCAGTGAATGGGACATTAAAACCATCACCAGTGCAATGAAGTTCTACCTGCGGTGAGTTACACAGCCGCCTTTTTCACATGTAGCTCTTTACTGATGTGCATGTATGTGTATATTCATGTGTTCTAATGTGTGTGTGTGTGTGTGTGTGGGTGTGTGTGTGTGTGTGTGTGTGTGTGTGTGTGTGTGTGTTTTCCCACAGGAGCCTGAGTGAACCACTCATGACCTACACTTTGCACCGGGAGCTCATCAGTGCAGCAAGTAAGATCACGTCAGCAGTAATGCTCCAAAATCACACTGTTACATTAATGTACATTAAAGAACTCACACAGCAAATTACGGTTCTCACCTGTTCCGGAGGTGAGAGGAGCGCTATGATGACGTACAAATGCGCAAGGATGTGCTAATTGATTTGAGAACCCACAACTTTTAGGGCCCATTTTACAGCTGTTGAAGTTCTGCAGTCCTAGATCCCAGTTTCACAACTATCTAGTTCCAGAGCCCATGGTTTTGCAGTTATTCTGGAGTTCTACAACCCACTGTTTTGCAGCTCTAGAATGCATAGTTCTAGAACCCAAAGTTTTGCAGTTTTAGAAACCACAGTTCAGCAGTTCTAAACTCCACTGTTTTACAGTTCTAGATTCAATAGTTCTGCAACACTGCAACCCATAGTTTAGCAATGTTTCTAGTTTCCGAATTCTAGAATCCATAGTTCTGAACTTCTGGAACCCATTTTATATTTGATAGCTTGGCAATTTTAGAACCAATAGATTAGCGGTTTTGGAATCCACAGTTCTAGAACCCGCAGTTTTGGAATTCTGCAGTCTGTAGATCTGTAGTTCTGGAACCCACAGTTTTGCAATTCTGCACTCTGCAGTTTTAAAACCCATAGATTAGCATTTTTTAGAATCCACAGTTCTAGAACTTGCAATTTTAGATTTCTGCAGTTTGTAGTTCTGCAGTTCTGGAACCCACAGTTTTGCAATTCAAAACTCAGTTCTAGAATGCACAGTGTTGCAGTTCTGGATTTCATAGTACTGTGATTCTAGAACCTACAACTTCTGAATCCTAGAATCTGTAGTTTTGCTCTCGCACAGCCCACAGTCTAGTGATTTTAGAACCTGTTTTAAAGAATACATAGTTCTGCACTCGAACACATGAATTACAGGAAGATTTTCAGCAGATTTCTAGATTTCTTAACTTCAAACACTGTAATGTGATCTAGTACTTTATTGTGATTGGCTGGCATCGACGCGTGTTCTTGTGTTTTTGGTCATCCAGTTTTGTTTGTTTTTGCTGCCTGCTGTACTGTTACCAGCCTACGGTTGGAGTGTGTGTGTGTGTGTGTGTGTGTGTGTGTGAGTGAGTGTGTGTGAGTGTGTGAGTGTGTGTGTGTGTGAGTGTGTGAGTGTGTGTGTGTGTGTGTGTGTGTGTGTGTGTGTGAGTGTGTGTGTGATGGGGTTATTTAAGGCCAGCTGCCTGTACTCCATCTGTTTAAAACGAAAAAAAGGAAAGAGCGAGAGAGGAAATCCCTCTCTGGGTTTTTTTTCTTTATCTTTCAGTAGTGTACATGAAACCCCCCGGACCCCCACCCGCCCAGCATTGAAACATAATAAAGGCTTTTATTAGATCTTTCCACTTGATTACACATTCCACTGTACACACTCCCGTGTGGGTTAACAGTTCAGCGTGTGTATGTGTGTTTGTGTGCGTGTTTGTGCGTGTTTTTGTGTGTGCGTGTGTGTGCGTGTGTGTGCGTGTGCGTGCGTGTGCGTACGTGTGGCGGTTAATATGTGTGTGTGTGTGTGTGTGTGTGTGTGTGTTGTTCAAATTATGCGTAGCTTATTGTTTGTCCTCACTGTGTATCAGTGTTAATGAGTGTGTTCTGGCGCGACTGTTTGTGTTTATGGGTGATGATTTGAAAAATACACTGTAGATTTGTGTTTATATAATTCACAGAACAATTGATTTAATGTTGATATGTTTTCTATTTGTGGATAAAACAAATTTTGGGTAAATGTGTGTTTGATCATTTTACTGTTGTCTTGTTTTATTGTTATGGTGTGGATTATGGGGTTATGGTTTGAGTTATGGTGTGGGTTATGGTTTGAGTTATGGTGTGGTTCATGGTTTGAGTTATGGTGTGGGTTATGGTGTGGATTATGGTTTGAGTTATGGTGTGGATTATGATTTGAGTTATGATGTGGGTTATGGTGTGGGTTATGATGATTATGGTGTGGGTTACAGTTTATGTTGCAGTGTGGGTTATAATGTGGATTATAGTTAGATTATGGTGCGAATTATGGTTTGACTTTTGATATGGATGATGGTTTGTATTATGGTGCGGATTATAGTGTGGACTATGGTGCAAATTATGGTGTGGATTACGATGTGGAGTATGGTGCGGGTTATGGTGTGGACTATGATGTGGGGTATGGTGCGGATTATGGTGTGGACTATGATGTGGGGTATGGTGCGTGTTGTGGTGTGGATTATACTGTGGATTATGATGCGTGGTATGGTGTAGATTATGAAGTGGAGTATAGTGTGCGTTATGGTGTGGATAATGATGTGGGGTATAGTGTGGATTATTTTGTGGACTATGATGTGGAGTAGGGTGTGGATTATGATGTAGATTATGATGTGGAATAGGGTGTGTGTTATGATGTGGATCATTATGTGGAGTAGGCTGTGTGTTATAGTGTGGATTATTGTGTGGATCATGGTGCAGATTATAATGTGTGGTGTGTGGATTATGGTGTAGATTATGATGTTGAATATGGTGTGGATTATGGTGCGTATTATAGTGTGGATTATGATGTGAGGTATGGTGTGTGTTATGGTGTGGATTATGATGTGAGGTATGGTGTGTTTTATGGTCTGGATTAGGGTGTAGATTATGGTTTGTCTTCAGATTATGGTTTGTCTTTTGATGTGGCTGATGATTTGCATTATATTGCAGATTATGACGTAGAGTATGGTGTGTGTTATGGTGCGGATTATAGTGTGAATTATGATGTGGATTACACTATAGGTCATAGTTTGTGTTATGGTGGGGATTATGTTGTGCATTATGTTGTGGATTTGAGTGTGTTGTGCTGGTTACAGTGTGAATTGCAGTATGGATTATACTATGGATCATGGCTTGTATCACGGTATGGTTTATGGTTTGTATTATAGTGGGGATTATGTTGTGCGTTATGATGTGGTGTGTGGTTCATGGTGTGAATTGCAGTGGAGATTATGTTGTGTTTTATGATGTGTTTCATGATGTGTTTCATTGTGTGGTCTATGGTTTGGATTATGTTCTGAAAAATGTTCAAAATAAGGTTCTGTTTTTATAATCTGTTCTAAAAAGTGACGAGTGCATCTTTATTCCGCTGTGCTTATTATATTCATCACCCCTGAGCATTTGTTTCACACCTGAAGGGAAACAAACAGACGGGTGTGGAAGGCGACACCTTAACAACCCGCCTTAATGAGCCTTGTGGCCTCCAGCGCTGGAAAACGACTGTTCACCTGACTCTCTGTGTTGCTTTAATGCAGGATAACTTTATGCAGTTCTACTTGTTGTGTAATTCTAGAACCCACCTTTCTGCTATTTTAGAATCCACAGTTTTGCAATTCATAAACCAAGTTCTGTCCCAATTGAATCCAGAGTTCCATAGTTCTTTCATTTTTCTAGAATTCACAGTTCTGTAGTTGTAGAATCTGCAGTTTCGCAGTTTCACGATTCTGTGGTTCTACAACCTACAATCCAGCAAGTTTAGAATCCAGAGCTGTAAAATTCTAGAACCCACAGTTCCAAAAGCTCTACAGTCCAAAGTTCTACAGTTTCTAGAATTAAGTTTTGCAGTTCTAGCGTTCGCAGCTCTACATTCCCCCCACAGTTCTGCATTTCCGGCTTTCTGGTTCTCGTATTCAGTTTTGCAGTTAATAGAATTTACAAACTCTTGTCCCAGAACCTACAGTTCTGTAGTGTGATTCTGGAATCCATATAGCCACAGTTTTAGAACTGATAGTTCTAAGTAATTCTAGAATTCCTCTAGAATACAGTTTTGTAGTTCCACGGTTCTACCGTACTAGAACCTACACATTTTCAGTTCCACAATCCACAGTCCTGCTGTTTGAGAACCCACAAATCTGCAAGTGTAGAAGTCAAATTTGTGCAATTCTAGAACCCACATTTCTTAAAGTTCTACAGTCCCTGATTCCTAGAACCACAAATCATTCATAGTTCTATATTTCCAGACAAACATTTCTGCATTTCTAGAAGCCAAAGTTAGTAGTTCTAGAATTGACGGTTTTGCTGTATGTGGAATCAACAGACTGCAGTTTTAGAACCCAATTCTTTTGCAATTTTAGTTTAGTTCCACCATTCTAGACACTCAGTTCTATGAGTTCCAAAGCTTTAGAGTTCTTAGAGTTTACAGCTTCGAAAATGTAGATGACTGCAGTTTTGCGGTGGTTCTGCGGTTCGAGAACGTACATGGGTTCATTTAAGGTTCTGTAGCAGAATTAAAACAGATTCTTGTTTTTTTTTGTCTGCAGTTTTGTTTTATAATAAATGGCAGATTGTAAAATTCACACATTTCCTCGCCGGATATTTAGGTTCTTTAGGACGATGGCAGATGCTGTAGTTGGTGCACTTTAACGATCGTTCTCTGTGTGTGATCCTCAGAGTCCGAGAACCTGGATTACCGTTTGGGGGCGGTTCACTCGCTGGTCTACAAGCTGCCAGAGCAGAACCGAGAGATGCTGGAGCTTATGATCAAACACCTGGTCAGGTAAAACCACCTGAACACCTTTGATTTTCCCTCTCGCTCACTTTCACTCTCGTTCTATTGTTCTCCTCTTTAACGGCTACATGAGGAAGCAGCTGTTTATGCTGTTTAATCTACACTTCACCTTCACTGTGATTTCAAGACTGAGAAAAGTCATTATTTTGAGATGAGAAGTCAAACTTTCCATAGAATATGTAAAAATAAAGACTTATTCTCTCAAAATAATGACATATAGAAATAACAGTACTTTCTCAAGGAGAAATAACTGATTATTTTGACGCAGTCAAATTCCAGAGAAAAATAATTATTATTTCTACATAGGAAATCATTATTTTGACTTAACAAGTCAAAATATTGAACAGAAATATTATTTTGACATAAAAAAGTTAACATTTCAGCAGAATATGTGAAAATAACAGACAAAAAATTACTAACAAAAACTCAAAATAGTTATGTCTGTTAAAACCTATACTTTAGCAATGAGTAGAAGCCAAATTTGTGCAGTTCTAGAACCCACAATTGTCCAGTTCTACAGCCCCCAGTTTCTAGAACCATAATCATACGTAGTATTATATTGCCAGACAAACAGTTCTGCATTTATAGAACCCTGTTTGTAGTTCTAGATTTGACAGTTTTGCTGTAAATAGATTAACAGACTGCAGCTTTAGAACCCAAAGTTTTGCAATTTTAGGATCCATAGACACACACTTCTATGAGTTCTATAGCTCTAGAGTTCTTGAATTTACAGTTTTGAAGATGTATAAGCTGCAGTTTTGCAGTGCAGTGGTTCTGCAGTTTGAGAACGTACAGACTTTCAGTTCTAGAATGTGCTGTTCTAGAACCTACAATTGATCGTAAGCACAATTTGTGTGTTCATAATTCCACAGTTTCTAGAATCTATAGACCGCAGGAGTTCTAGAACCTACAGTTCTGTTATTATGAAATGTGTCATTCTGCAGTTCTGGATCCTACAGAACCAACAGAGCCTAATTACGAAGTTGAAAATAAGCCATTATTGAGAAAACAGGTCCATTTTTTGAGATGAGGAGCCAAACAAGCAGTAAAGGACGTGAGCAGTAGGGGAAGTTTATACAGCGCTGCTCGTGTGATAATTATAAAATGACTTCATTTGCATGCAGGTTTGTACATGAAAGACTAAAACCGGTCCCCACCTACACAAAACCATTGACACACCACCAGCAATTAGCGCCTCTCTTAGTAAATCTGCCCCCAAACACTCTGAATGGACGCCCCGCCGTATGGCAGGTCAGACGAGGTTAATATGTCTCTCACGAACACCGACCTGCAGGCACACCCACCTGCGCTGTGTGTTTTCTTGCCAGATCTGATGGCAGTAATAATAACATATCTGAGACTTTATTTAGCCGCCTGGACACGCTGGGTCTCCACCCTCCTCCCTGATTTCACCTCATTAGACGCTTCTGCTGTCTCGCTGGCACCGTGTCAACTGTTAACATCATTAGCTGCTAATCGCTGTGCTGTTAGCTTCGCAGGTCTATGCGTGCAGCTGTGGGTTCAAACCTCAGAGTAAACACATCTTGAGTATGAAATTATGAAAGGACTGTTAGATGCACTTCCTCTCACAGTCCTGTAGGGTTATTGTCAACAACAGCAGCTTATCCAGTTTAGGTTCTCTTCACTGAGGTACGTTCATGTGGTACTCATATTACTCACTTCATACAGGGCTGCCGGAACTGTGGGGGGCGGGTGAGTGGGTGAGGGGGAGACCCACCCCTTTTCTGAGCAGTGGGGCGACGACCCACCAACACTTTTGTTTCTTTATTTTGTAAATTTAGCATTTTCATACATTAGAAATGCAGCTCAAAGTGCTTTAAAATACCAAGTAAAAAAGTACAAACAACAACGAGAAGAGAAAAAAAGATGATCAAAACATAAAATAAATCATAAAAAGTAAAAATAAAAAGTCCAATAAAAATACAACAGTTAACACGAAAGTCAAAGTAATATTCAAGTAAAAACAAGGGAAACAATGAAAACTACACTCCTAAAAAGATGGTTCTTCAAGGGTTCTTTAATAAAGAAAGGTTCTGTGTAGAACCATAAACACTCAAAGAACCCTTTGCATGATTAAAGCGTTCTTAGCATCATGAAATGGTTCTTCAGACTGACGGAGAATGTGCTGTAGATGCTTTTATATAGAACTTTGTTTAAATGGTTCTATATAGCACCCAAAAGGGTTTTTCTGTTGTTGCGATGTCCAGCTTGTAACAATGGAAGAACCTTTCTAAATAGAACTGTGAACACTCACAGAACCCTTTGTTTGATTAAGGCGTTCTTAGCATCCTAAAAGGTTCTTCAGATTGATGGAGAGTGTGCTATAGAGGGTTCTATATCGAACCTTTTTAAACGGTTCTATATAGCATCCAAAAAGCTTGTAACAATAGAAGAACTCTTTTGGGTGTTGTATAAAACCCTTTTTAAAAAGGTTCTGTATAGAACCATTTTCTTTACTAAAGAACCCTTGAAGGACCATTTTTTTTTTTTTTAACCCGATTTTTCTCCCCAATTTAGTCGTCTCCAATTCCACCCGCTAGTTAGGACTCCCCCAATCACACGATGCTATCAACGCTAGGAGGGTGAAGGCTAACACAGGCTTCCCCCGAGACCTGTGAAGCGGCACCGCATCTTTTCGAGCTGCTGCTCACGCAACGTCACTGGACAGCCGAACGCACTCGGAGGAAAGCGCCAACCGCCAGATCTGTTACGTCAGCTAACAGACGCCTGCGCTGACTAGCATCGCGCTGAGTGATGGGGGGAGAAGGAGGGGCCATCCTACCCACCCAGAGAGAGCGAGGCCAATTGTGCTCTCTCGGACTCCCGGCTACGGATGACTGTAGCATCACCAGGGATCGAACTCGCGATCTCCTGATGATAGGGCCAACGCTTAGACGGTTACACCACTCGGGAGCCCCGAAGGACCATCTTTTTAAAGAATGTAGTTAAATGCTAAAGTAAAGAAATGTGGTTGTAGCTTTATTTGAACTGATGAATGTTTATCTGTAACGTGTTCCAGATCCAGAATTCAGAGATTCCAGACTGTATAAATTCACTGTGGTATATTTTGAAGTTTCGTACGTGGAATATGGAGAAAACATTACAAGATGATCTCAACTTAATCTTCTCAGCTGAAGGGGCTGTAAAAGAGTGTTAGCTTTCGACTGGTAGAAGATTCGAAACTATTTCCAGACATTTTGACTTGTTTTAATTGGATAAAGTAAAATTACAGTTTTGCTATTTTCCAAAAAAAACAGCACTCAGTCAGAGTGATAGAATCGTTTTGCTTGAGAAGAGAACTTAAGATTGATTAAAACAGATCAAAAAGTCAAGAAATAGATTCAATTATTTTCTAACGATTTTTTTAGATCGTTCAGATCATGCCTTCAACATGGTGGTGGTAGTACGAGGGAAGACTGATTGAGGGAGCGGGGAGAACTTGGGCTGATGTTCTGGGCAGCTTCTGCCTGTAGCTAGAAGGCCAGACACCCCTCATAGCTGTAGCAGGACTGAGGAACAGGGAGGGGATGGGGCGGCGGTGGGGATGGAGAACCCTTCGTCATGGGAACAGAAGGTGAGGATGTGAATTTATAGGCCGTTAGATTGGCAGATAGAGGGGTTTCAGGCATGTTCCTCCCCCCAAACTTCAGTTATAACATAACTACATTTAGTGAGTTCAGACCAGGCCTTCAACATGGTGGTGGTAGTATGAGGGAAGACTGATTGAAGGAGGAGGAAAACTCTGAGAACTTGGGCTGGAGTTCTGGGCAGCTTCTGGCTGTAGCTAGAAGTCCGGACACCCTCATAGCTGCAGCAGGACTGAGGAACAGGGATTGGGTGATGGTGGGAATGTGAACACAATTCCTGGGAACAGAAGGTGAGGATGTGAATTTTTAGGGGGTTAGATTGGAAGAAGGAGGGGTTTCAGGCATGTTCCTCCCCCCAAACTTCAGCTATAACATCGTTACATTATAAGAAATGTCAAAGTGATTAATGTTAGATGTAGCGCCTGAATTCAGGAGTTCATTTTGTATCCAGTCCAAATATTTTCAGGATGTTTTCAGGATCGCTGTATTACAGTTTGCCCCAGTGCAGATGTGCTGTTAAAGCCCTTTTTGGTGCAAACTCGTCCCTCAGAAAGCTGTAAAACACACAGAAGACATTAGTGTAATTCATGATTCTGGGAGTGTTATTATGATTCTTCAGAAGTAGAAGGTGAAATAACAGTTTCTCCGAGTCGAGCATGTTTTGTCTCGTAATTCCTGATGAATGCCGTTTTATGCGAAGAGGTCAGGATCGTTTGGACGTGATGTATTGTCCTGTTGATTTGTCGTCAGTGAAAGTGTATTAGGCTCTGATATTAACCCTCAGGCATTGTTTCGATTTGTTCATATCCTCTTAAACCCTCCTTTAAAGGCTCCTCATGTAACATGATCCTCATATGTTTCATATTAAAATACTCCGTTTTCTTCATCACTACTTTCCAAACCCGCTGCAGCAGCTTCAGCAGCTGTAAACTCTCTGCAGGCCATTTCACATGAGTCTCCGATGTGGACTGAATGAAGAATGAAGGGTTTCCGGCGTGATGGTCAGTCCTTAGTGACTTCCTGAGTGTCCATCGGTCAGTTTCACACAGAATGTAGACGGACACACGACTCCACCAGTTCCACACGGTGAGAGGCAGATGATGTGTATCTCAGCCCCTCTTCATAGGCTCATAACTCCGGATGTGAGTCTCGTATGATCTCGAGATGGGCGACTCTACAGATTCAGGAACTGTTAGAACTGGATTTCTGTGCCGGATCATCGCAAAGATACAGAACCAGATATAGAAACATTGAATTTGACACACAGAGAGGTTTGTAGACCCCCGAGGGTTAATATCCATTTCCAGTGATCTGACCGTAAGTGGACAGTGAGCCGTGCAGCCGTTTACACTCTAGAACGCGTCTCCAGTCAAAACATATGATTGGATTTGACTGGGTGGCCAAAATATCATCTGATGATTCACATCACAGATTCAGTGTACTAGTACACACTCTTAAAAAAGATGGTTCTTCAATGGTTCTTTAGTAAAGAAAAGGGTTCTATATAGAATCATGAACACTCAAAGAACCCTTTGCTTGATTAAAGGCTTCCTTGTATCGTGATAGTGTTCTTCAGATTGATGGTTCTATGTAGAACCTTTTTGAAAATGGTTCTGTATATCACCCAAAAGGATTCTTCTATTGTTACGATGTCAAGCTTGGATCCTTATACAGAACCATCTATAGCACATTTATGCACGTTTTCCATTAATCTGAGGAACACTTTCAGGATGCAGAGAACCTTTTTATGATGCAAAAGGTTCTTTGAGTGTTCATGGTTCTAAATAGAACCATTTTCTTTACTGAAAAACCATCTTTTTAAAGAGTGTAGTATAAACATGGGTTACAAAAAGAACCATGAGTACTGAAAGAACCATTTGCATGGTGAAATTGTTCTTCAGATTGATGGAGAATGGAAAAAGGGTTCTGCTATAGTTATGTCAAGCTTGTATACGATAGAAGAACCCTTTTTCGGTGCTATATAGAACCGTTTTTTCAAAAAGGTTCTATTTAGAAATATTTACAACACATTCTCCGTCAATCTGAAGAACCGTTTCACCATGCAAGGAACACAAAGGGTTCTATGAGTGTTAATGTTTCTATGTAGAACCTTTTTTAAGTGTGTAGCTACAACAAAATGCGGCGTTTTAAAAAGGGAACAATCTCTCTTTAGATAAAACAGACGTGATTAATTGTTCTAATCATTTGTAAATAATTGTTGTGATGTCGTTTGTTCTCTCGTTGTCCAGCGTTTGCAGCCACAGCTGTGCCAACCTGATGACGGCGTCTAACATGGGGGTCATCTTCGGCCCCACGCTGATGAGGGCGGAGGAGGAGACGGTGGCGGCCATGCTGGACATAAAGTTCCAGAACATCGTCGTTGAGATCCTAATCGAGGACTACAAGAAGGTCAGGAACATAATGAGTCCGAATGGACTGAGGGCAGATTACGTTTCCAAATAACTCAGTATCTGTGCTCAGGAGAACGTGAGCACAGTGGAACATGTCTGGCAGTAGAACACTCAAGACCAGAGCTCTAGACTCGAGCCGATCTAGAATCTGTTCCTGTCAGTAAAGTCATAGGAAATCAGAATCAGAGGAACCTGAGTCTAGATGGGCTGTCAGATCATCCCACTGTAGTTTTATGTAAACTACTAAAAAGATGCTTTTAAGGGTTCTTTAGTAAAAGCAATGGTTCTATTTAGAACTTTGAGTTTTTTATAGAGCCACTTTCATGCTTAAATTGTTCTTTGCATGGTGAAATGGTTCTTCAGAGTGATGGAGAATGTGCTGTATATGGTTCTGCAATGCATTGTTACAAACTTGACACCATAACAATAGAAGAACCCTTTTTGGTACTATATAGAACCATTTTCAAAAAGGTTCTATATGGAACCATCTAAAACTTATTCTCCTTCAGGCTGAAGAACTCTCTCTTCCAAGGTTCTTTAGTAAAGGAAATGGTTCTGTTTAGAGGTATAAGTTCTTTATAGAGCCACTTTGATGCTTGAACGGTTCTTAGCATGGTGAAATGGTTCTTCGGACTGATGATTTTTAGCCATTAAAATTTTAAGATATAATTCAAAATTGATGACCAAATTTACTGACGACCAAAATTTTAATTTTGTGACAACTCCAGCCTTAAGATTCTTCCAGTTTTTTTTAGTAAACAGAACAATTTGAATGATTTTAAATCAGTATTTTAAAAGTTGTTTTATTTTCTCTGATTGGCATCTTTTTTGTAACTTTTTTGTAAAGAGAAATAATTTTATTCTTTTTTTAAAAAATTAACATCTAATATTATTGTCACGTTTGAGTAAACAGAAACTTTTTTTTTTCATCTTTTTTTCATCTAATTTCATTTTTTTCATCTTTATTACTTTTACCTTTTTATTTATTTATTTATTTATTTTTTTACGTCTTTATCCAGAGCCAGCAGTGGGCATTTCACACAAATTTGACATTCAAATTTTAAGGTATTATTTAAAAATTGACGACCAAATTTACTGACCACCAAATTTTTAATTTTGTGACAACTCCAGCCTTAAGATTCTTCCTGTTTTTTTTTTTTTTGGAAAGTGTTTATAAACTCAGACCCAGAAAATCCTTTACATAATACCCCTTTAACCCCCTTATCATAAACTTTCTCGGTTTTCTATCATTTTTTTTTCATGACGTCCGGTTTGAATTAATTCTCTCTTTCTGATGATGTCAGATCTTCAGCGGCCCTCCAGAGGAAAGCTTAGCGCCGCCACTTCCGCCCCCCAGGGCGGCGCCGAGGAGACGACAGCCAATCACGATCTCCAAACGACCGCCCAGGGTTTACACCGGGCTCCAGCCTCCGGCCTTCGAGAGTAAATAACATTTTATCTCTCAGCCTTCATCCCCTCCATCATCCTCATCTTCATCATTGACATTTTTTCACTCTTTCGTAAATTTTTCATAAATTTTTATTCATCAGTTCCATTTATAGTTAGTTTTCATTTCATACAGTTACTATTTTTATGATTTTCACATGAAATTTATTCTTTTGTAGCTCTTCTAACATTTATTATTCATGATTTTTTTGTTTTACGTAATTAACATATTATTTTTGCTTTTTTTAGTAAACAGAACAATTTGAATGATTTTTTTAAGATCAAATTTTTAAACTTTGTTTCATTTTTTTCTGATTGACATCTCTTTTTGTAACTTTTATGTAAAGAGAAATCGTTTTGTTCTTTTTTTAAAAAATGATAACATGCAACAAACATCCGTATTATTTTCTACTCTTAATTAAACAGGTCTATTTTTTTTCCTAATTATTTTTGTTTAATTAACATCTTTATTACTGTCTCTTTTAAGTAAACTTTATTATTTTTACTCTTTATTTTTTTATTCTTTTTTATTTTCATTCTCAAGTAAGTGGATCACATTTTGTTGATGTTTTTAAAGATTTTTTTTGTATTATTTTATCTGATGAGCTAACTGAACTGTGAACAGTGTGTTTTCTAATGACCTCAGGAACGGATTTATGATTTCTCTGAAAAGGTTAGAAATACGCATCGTAAACGAGGCCACTTGTCTGCAGTGTTGTCCTGCTTGCTCTTTACGAGTCAGAAATACGGCCTACATGTCTCGCTTCAGCAAAAGCCTGTTATTATTATTTTTTTTTAAAGAGCAGCAGCTGATATTACAGCCTGAATTATAGTCTCCGCTCTGAGAACGAGAACAGCTGAACCCCTCAGCCCGCACAAACACACTGAGAGCCTGTAGCTTGGACGTTCGGTCCACTGTAACACTTCTTTCCTTGATTTTGTTCTCAAAAACTCCTGCATAGCTATGGGAGGTCTGGGGAGCCTCGGCCACCCCACCTGCAAGCCAGGCCACCTCCAGATTTCTGGTCGTTTGAAAGAGATGTGCGACGAAGGTCAGGTCTAAAATAGCTTCTTAACCGTGTAAATGAAACTGCACTCATTTTTTAAAGTAAGGGTGCCACAAATTTAAAAATAATGTAATGATTTTAATATTAAGTGGCTTGTTTATCATCCATGGGTGACTAAAATCATCTTTAGTCCATCATAAATCATAACTCCTCCGCCTGATCAGAGCTGTGTGGCTGCTTCAGAGACGGTGGCATAGCTTTCGGCATTTTTCAGGCTCTTTTTTAAGCTTTTATTTTCTGGCAGACTTTGTTGAACAAGCCTTTTGTGGTCGTAACACAGCGCCGTCACTTTGTCCTCTGCTTTAGCTTTGCACTCAGTACCATGCGCAGTGCACATGCTCGCAGTGTTCTCATCAGATTTTATGGGGTATTGTTGCCCTCTACTGGACTGGCAGATTTTTATAAAACGCTTTATCTTTTAAAAATATCCTGATACTTGTTTATGAGGCCTATAGGAGGATATTTGTGCATTGACAATCTGAGTGATGATCAGTTTCTGCCGATATCCTCATCTTTTCTTCGTGTGTTTAACTGAGCCACGCTAATAACTCCATGGCCTGTAAAAGCCTTTTCCGCTTACATCCCATATGATATAAAACTGTGTCCGCAAGTTCTGCTTTTATTCCGATATGTGACCAGCAGCCCTCAAACACCGATCAAAGAGGTGGTGTTTTCCCTGGAGCAATGAATCAGTGTAGCCTTTCACAAGTGCGCAACACAGTGGTGGCGCTACCTTTTTTTGTGTCTATTTTTTTGCTTGTTGCACAGCATGCTTGCCGTTTCTAGCTAAAAACAGAACAAAATTCAGTTTTCTTGCTATATTGTGCCATTAAGGTGGAAGTCGCAGCAGCAGCATTGCACTTGGAGAACGTTCTGGACCCTGTTCGACTGATGAGGGAAATAACTGAGTGATCACCCTGCTAGAAAAGTCAGATGTTGTGTTTTGGATGTTGGTATGCCGGTCAACCAGCATGACCATGCTGGGTGACGAGCTAAACCAGCTTAGACTAGTATAAACCATTTTTTTCAAAGTAGCAAGTGTCGCAGAACAATTGTAATAATAATAATAATAATAATAATAATAATAATGATAAGTTCAATTTATATAGAGCCTTTCACAAACCCAAGGACGCTTTACAAGGTATCCAAAAACAAAAATCTAGAAGAAGGTTTTTAGCAGAGATTTGAAGGAAGACAAAGAAGAGCCATTGCGAAGAGTTGAAGGTAGAGAATTCCAGAGTTTAGTAATTTTAGCATGCTAACTGGCTAATTAAGCCTACCATTGGAATGCTAATTAGGCCTGCAGTTAGAATGCTTACTGTTTAATTAGACATGCCGTTAGAATGCTAACTAACTAATTAGGCATGCAGTTGCAGTGCTAACTGGCTAATTAGGTCTGCAGGTAGAATGTTTTCTGGCTAATTAGGCCTGCAGTTGTAACCACGTTAACCATGAGGAGCCTGGCCACTTCTTATTTCCCTCGTTATATCAAGAACAGGACTGTTTTTCTAATCCAGAACTGTCCTTTAATTTTAGAAAGTAGAAGGATGTATTTCACTAAAAAAGCGAAGAGAACTCACCTGTGCGTTTCCTTTTTTCTAAAGCAAACGGATTTGGGCAGCAGGACGCTAACATTACTGCTACTGAGTGCTGATTGGTTGGCGAGCGGAGCAGCTCATTGACTCTTTGCGCTCACTGACGTCATGAACGTACACAAGGCGCGGTTAAACTCCTATAATTTGATTATAACTATGATTTTGCCCAAATGCTCCATCTTAACCCATTCATTTTGGACTCGCTCGGTAGCGCCCTCTAGTGTTTGAATAACCCAGAAGACATTACAGAGTGGGAATTCTCCCCTATACAAGTTCTCTGATGCTTCCAGTGCTTGTTAGCTTCGTTAGCTCTGTAGCTCCAGAGCTAAAACTGAAGAAGTAAAATGAAGACACTGAACATGTCTTGGCTGATCAGCAGGGTGACAGCTGGGTAAATTTCGAGTTTCCTGTGGCGTCTGTGTGCAGAGTGGCGTTGCTGGTCGAGTGTGGACTAAGCGCTTGCGCCTGTGCTCGGCGTATCGCTCTGTGCCTGCTTCCGGCTGATAAACCTGCTTCAGTCATTAACATTTCAATTCATTATTCTCTCTTTCTTGTAAAAACACAGATGTACCTATTAATCAATTAATGTGTCTCCCCGCTCGTCACTGCCGAGCCCTTTGGCAGACGGTGGCGTGTCTGAGTGTGTGTTGTTGTTGAAATTGATGTTCCATTTGCCGCACTGCCGGAATAAAGTTTCTTCTTCTCTCAAAGGGCCCATATTCTACATTTTTTTATTTAATATCTAATGCTGAGGTCATATATATTTTTTTTATTTTTACATGGTTTATACCAACTTCTTAGTTAAACAGGCTTTTGAGATTTAAGATCTATGTAAATGAGCTCTGTTGTAATTGGGCCTCAGTACTGCATGAAACACTCCTTATAACTTCTCTGTAAATGGGCGGGGCTTAAATATTGCTGGCTGGATGGGCATGGCTAAACTGCTGCAGGAGGACTGGGCAGGGCTTTACTGTAAACTGCTGTAGGCCGAATATGCAGATATATGCAAATGAGTTGGAGTCATGACATCACAAACAATTAATTCAGAGCTGTTTTCGCAGCATAGTTGCCATAAATGGACTGTAAACAACGTTTACATCAGTGCTGGACCATGACTTTCTACTAGCACCCTTAAGGAATTTCTTATAGTATGTTAGCACTAAGCTTATGCCGTTCTAGATTAATCATGGACATTTAATGCTTGTAAAAAACTTTCTACATGTTTTATCTGAAGCTTGTAACAGACATTAACATACATTTGAGCTTGTATGTATCAGATTTACAGTAACTCTTTCAGTAAAGGTAGATTCCTTACAACTAACCGGAACACTGCTTAGACTACGGCTCAAATTCACAGTAAGTGATGTATCTAGAACGTCCAGAAGACGTAGAATGAGGTTTTTCTTATCACCACATTGTAAATCAGAGCGTGATTGGTTGATTCCTCTGTCATGTCCTAATTATATTGGTAGGTCATCTAACCTGTAAGGCCTTCAGTCTAGCTCCTGAAACTCTAACCAATGGGAGAGCTCGCCTGGCTGTACCTAGGCGCCACAGAGAAAACAATCCTGATTGGACAGTTTTCTGTTGAGTGGCTGAATATTTTAGGCCTTTAAGTTTACCTTTTTAAACTTTTAACTTAATGATGAGATCAGAGTTCAAATATAACGAGCACGATAAATCTATTAAAATTAAATGTTTTTGTTCCCAGAAACTGTTAGGCTTTCTCTGAGAGTTCCCCTCTGGTTTACATACCACATCGAGACCTTTTATGTCTTAAAAAAGCAAGGAAAATGTTTTCCATCTATTTCACATCCTCTATCATTAATTAGGTGATTATTTGTTGTTCAGTTTGATTATTAAGTGTTTTTCTCTTTGCCGTTAGCGAGAAATCTGTAAAAGCTCTTTAGGTCGAAGGTCGGGTCGCGCGACTGTGTTTATATAGTGTGTCTTTGTGCTTGTATGTTTTTGTTTATGGAACTTTTGAAACCACTCATTAATTTTTTGTATGCGTCATTAATCTTTATTGATTTTTGAGGTTGCGCTCTGCGCGTGTTTTCGTGTGTGTTTTGGATCTAACTGTAAGCAGGACATGCAAGTATGCAAAGCGGGAATGGAGGGATGAGCAAGAAAGCTTGGGTTAGATACAAGCTGCAGAAACTGGAGTGGGACTTGTTTTCATAGCAAGAGTTATATGAAAACCAGTCCACCCAAATCTACACACACACAGAATTGCTTTTGTGTAAAAGAACTTTTTCTGAAATCTTTATTTCAATCAATCCATCAACTTTTGTTTAAACTTGGCTGTACGTTTACAGTGTAGCTGAGCCAGTAT